CCCTGATCTAGTCTGGCCTCATGTACAGCACAAACCAGAGAATTTCACCATTACCCCTGTATTCGGCCCAATCACTTGTGTTTGACTAAAGCCTCTTCCAGAAAGGGGTACAGTCTGAATTTGAAGACACTAAGAGATTACTGATTTGCACCACTCATTCCATTAATCACCCTCTGGTTCCTTATTTCTAATGTGTCTGCCTTCAGCTTCCAGCCATTGGTTCTTGTTCTGCTTTTCTCTGTTGGGTTAAAGAGCCCTTTAGGTCCCAGTATCTTCTCCCAGGAAGGTGTTTAGATCCCATAACCAGTTCACTTCTCAATCACAGACTGAGCTCTAAATCCACAGGCAGCTGTTTTCTCCAGCCCGCAAGTAATTTTTGCAGCTCTTTTTTGCATCCTCTGCAATTATTCAACATCCTTTTAAAACTATGGTCCCCAGAACTGGCCGCACTGTTTCAGGATGGGTCTCACCAATGCCGTAGACAGAGTAAAATCCCCTCCCTGCTCCTACTCACTACGCCTCTGTTTATACAGCCCTGGGTCGCACTGGCCTGTTCTGCCACAGCATCAGTTTGTCCATTCTGCTCCCACGATCACCACTGTCCAGGATACAGTCGTGTGTGTGTGTACGTGTGCATGGGAGCTATGATCTAGGCCTCTGGCTGCAGTGGCTAGGGACAGTTACATCCCTGATGTAGCTTCCTGAACTTCAGTGGCATTGTTGGTGCACCCAGTAGGGTGTTTATAGAGCTAGTTACCAATGGTGAAAGCAGTTTCTTGTCCCCACAGCTGCATTATCGGCACCCAGGTAGTTTGTCTCTCTGGCAGCCCCCTGTTCACATGCAGGGGGCTAGTGGGATGGTAGAATGAGCCAGGATGTAGGGCCCAAACTGGCAGCCGCTAGGTCCAGCTGGCACCGATGCTGCTCGGAGCTGGGACAGTGCAGGCTGCAGCAGCTCCATGGGTGTGTTTCCATACATGGCCTGGCAGGTGGCATGGTCTGGCTGGTGGTGGGTTGCCACTGTATGGTGGGAGGGGCAGGCTCTCTCCCCCACGGTGTGGGGTGGGGTGGGGCATGTCTCTCTCTTTGGCCCAGAGGGGAGCATTCTCCCTCAGCTGCAATTCTCCACTGCAGGCAAGTTTGAGCAGCAGCCCTAAGACAATGGACCAGGTAACAGGACCCAGCAAGAGAATGGTGCTTGAATGGTGTAGTGTCCACCATAGGGGTGGGGAGGGCAGGCCAGGGAGGGCAGGCCAGGCCCAGGGCCATCATACTGACTGGGGCAGGGCAGGGGCACTGGCGCTAGGGGTGAGGCAGCACCCCCTAGCTTGAATAATAGCAGCAACCGAATGCCTGGCTCTCATCATATAGAGCAGGGGTTGGCAACCTTTCAGAAGTGGTGTGTCGAGTCTTCATTTATTCACTGTAATTTAAGGTTTCATGTGCCAGTGATACATTTTAACGTTTTTAGAAAGTCTCTTTCTATAAGTCTATAATATATAACTAAACTATTGTTGTATGTAAAGTAAATAAGGTTTTTAAAATGTTTAAGAAGCTTCATTTAAAATTAAATTAAAATGCAGAGTCCCCCAGACCGGTGGCCAGGACCCAGGCAGTGTGAGTGCCACTGAAAATCAGCTCGCGTGCCGCCTTCGGCACGCGTGCCATAGGTTGCCTACCCCGATATAGAGGATTCACAGTTTAGTTCAGTGGCTTCCAGCACCACCACCCCCGAAATGATTCCACTGCCCCGGGGAAAGGGCTTCTTCATTCTGCACGAGTCCGAGCACCCCTGCAATTCCAGCTTCCCCCTGGCCTGTCCCAGCAGGGAAAGCGGTGGGAGTCTCTTGTGAGCAGTGTCGAGACAATGGTCCATGTCACACAGGGTCTGTCCACACCACAATGAAACAACTGTACCTGGCCCGTGTTAGCAGACTTGGGCTCACAGGGCTCAGGCTGCAATAGAACCCGGGAGTCCTGGCTCCCAGCTCTGACTCCCTGTGGACTGGGGAGCCCCCTGCAGGGTTCAGGCTGAACAGACACGAACTGATTAAATAAAGAAATGACTTCTAAGAAATAACCACAGTTTATTTAATGAAAAAACTCCAAAAAAAGGGGGGACAGCAATTCCCCCAATAAAATGTGTCAAATACAACAGGGGTCTCTCCCCAACCCCGGACAATGATCCCAACGTGGACGGAGTGCGCAAACCAAACGGGAGAGGCACGCACTTATACACACCAGGGGTCTATGTACACAGTGCCCCAGGGGGGACAGATCGAGATTCCCAGCCCACATAGGCCCTGAGGGCCGGACCAGGCCCCTATGTACTGGACCAGAGTCCCACTGGGTGTGCGTGTGGCTCCATCCTGGAGCCAGAGCTCCCTGGGGCCCCACGCAGCTGGGGGAGTGCAGGGAGTTTCTGGAGTGATTTGTGGGGGCACAGACCGAGATGGGTACCCAACCGGCTCTCATGGAGATTGGGGTGGCCAAGAATGTTCTGATGACTCTGGCTGTGGAAATGTGTGTTGGGATCACGTGGGCCTTGGGTCCCTCTACCCCCAGCCTGAGGGGACACCAGAGCTTTGCTGAGATCTCCTGGGGGCTCTGGAGTGCCTCAGAGCCCTAGCCTAGTGCGCAGGCCTGGGAGACACCCTGCGCCCAGCCCACTGACCTCCCCCTGCCTGATGCCAGATGCAGCTGCAAGGCTCGGAGCACAGAGGGACAGGGAGCCCTGGAGAGAACCAGGACTGAACAGGCCACGTTGGAATGCAAAAGGCAGAGAACGCCGAGCAAACATGAGACCCCTCTGTGGGGCCAGCGCTGGCTGCAGCTCCTTGTGCTTGGGAGAAACTGCAACCGGGGGGCCAGGCTGCAGTGAGTGAGACCAGAAGATGGATGGGACACACTCGGTCAGCAGGGAACAGCTGGCCTGCAGGGGCTCGCAGTGGGGCACCGGTCTGCGCTGGTGATTCGGCTCGGGACTTCTGGCCCCCCAAGCACCAGTTGTTCGGAGCTCGCCCAGGCCACCTGAGCAACCCTCAAAGGAATTGCCAAGCCCAGGTGAGTGGCCCACAGTGCAGGCAAGCGCTGTTACAGACACTTGCTACCCGGCTCTATCGCTCGCAGCTCCTCTTGGAGCAGCCAGTGGCCGGGACTCAGACACAGGGACCATCCTGCAGCCTCCCCGTGACTGCAGGGGTAGCAAAGCGGCTACTGACTCAGCCAGCAAATAAACATCTTCCTGGGGAAGCCGGGCAGGCCTGTGGGTGCCACCTGTCACAGCCCAGTGACCTTCCTCCCCACCCAGCCAGGCCGGCACAGAGGACAATGGGAAATAAATGGAGGCAGCATGGAGCGTGGTGTTTGTGTGTGTGTGTGAGCAGGGCAGGGGGCTCTGCCAGGCTGCTGGTGACGCAGCTGGCTTTATTGCTACCAGGTGGGTGGGGGAAAGCATCTGGAGTCTCATGCTCTCTCTCCTGCCTGCTGCACTGAGAGATCAGGGCTCAGTGCTGGGGGAAGCAGGGTGGCTGGGATGCCAGAGGGCTGGACTGCGGCTCCCACCTGCTCTTTAAGACCCCCCCACACCCCGAGAGTGTGGATGCCTATTGGCTGAGGCAGTAGCACTCCAGGCCCATCAGAACAAGGCTCAGGGAGGCACTTTACTGCCCCCTCCTGATACTTGTGGCTCTTTCAGAGCTGGGATCCAGGGCATCCTGCTCATGGCCCAGGCAGGATCCACAGGGCCCAGGACTCAGCAGTGACCAATGGGAATTATTGGACACATTCCTGGACCCACCAGACCACACTTACATGGACTGCGGCTCCCCGCCAGATGCGTGGGGAGGAAAGAGCGGAGCTCACAGTGAGCCTGCATGGGAAAATCCAACCGCTTGGCTGCTGCCTGCTTGGGGCCGGGGGGTCAGAAAGACAACAGCTTGGGGGGGAGGGAGAAGCAGCCCAAATATGGGGCTTGGTTTAAGGGGGGTTCGTAATGAAGGTGCTGGCTCGAGATGGAGCGGGAGGGATGAAGTGCAGCCAGGAGTGAAACTGGCGTGGGATGGCCAGATGCCGCTTCCTAGCTCCTGCCACACCTGGGTGCTAAAGAACAGGGGCAGGGACTCAGTGCTTGAGGGGTTCAGGGCTGGGGCTGGGACTGGGACCCAGCCGCCTGCTGCTTCACTCTTAAAAGCCCATCCGTGGAATATACCCCTGCCCCCACTACACACAGGATCTCCGCCTGTCATGCTCAGAGCTGTAATACACTGGGCCAATCCCAGTGACCTGATCCCTATTGAACCATCCTACTCTGGGCTCGGAGCGGGCCCCTGTTTGGAGCAGACGACATTCGGGTTCCTGGCTTTGGGGAAAGAGTCACCAGCTGAAGCGTGGCAGCATGGGGCAGGGCAGAGCTGAGCGTGGGATGGGGGGAGGGGCAGTGGGAAAGCCAAGCCTGCAGCGACTGAGAGCTGGTTGCTCTGGCATATGGGTTTGCTGTCCTGTGGTGCCTGGCGAGGCAGCGTGATGTGGCAAAGGTGACAGACACGGGGGGGGGGGGGGGCTGATGCAGTGGGGCAGGGATAAATTTAAGCAACTAGGTCTTGGCAAACATTTAGGATAGAGACAAACACGAGTGCCCAGGGGATGGTTACACACAGCTGGAGGTCGGAGCACGCCCCTGCTGCAGGCCAGGAAAGGCAGACACCCCTCCCCCACCTCCAAACCCCACTGCCCCCATCTCTGGCTTCACCAGCAGGGGGCTCCCCTCATGGGCTCATCTTCCAGCTAGACACAAAGCCACCAGTGGCTAGAACAGCTGCAGCATCACACACCAGGGCTCTCCTCCGCTTGCGAACACGTTGCCTGGAGTGCAGTGGCCCTGGGCATCAGCGAGTGCCCACTGCCTACAGGAGGGGGCAGGCTGTGCTGGAAGGGCCCCTGTGCCCACATGCTATGCCAGGGCAGATGGCAGTGGGGACCCAGCCCGTGGCCTGGCTGCTTGTGCTTTTGGAGAAGGGCTACAGCAGGGGGTTAGGGGTATGTAGGCCACAGGCGACGGCAGAGCCGCTGGCCAGCTGTGCCAGGCAAGAGCCTTCTCACACACTAAGCACTCCCTGGCTTGGCGGTTCAGTGAGCCACGGCTGCTTCGGGCTGGAGGTGGGAGCGTGTCTCGGGCCGGCTGGGGTCCCTCCCTGCTGGGCACGGGGATCCAGTGCGGTGCACGCGCCCGCCCAGACACAGACACAGACACACACGCACACGCATGAGGAAGCGGTCGGTGGCAGCTGGAGACAAAGCTGGTGATGGGGGGGATGACAGGTTGGCACTGGAGTGCTCCCTCCTCCAGCCCTCCCAGTGCAGAACATACCAACACAGTTACGTAAGGAGAGTGGGATGTAGCCAAAGAGGCTTCACGCTGGCTGAGGGTTCGGCCTGGCAGGTGGGCGCTGCCCGGCCGCAGGGCGGGCGCTATCACGCTGGCTTCGAGCCAAAGAGTCCGACAGGGAAGTGCTTGACGTGCGTGGGCCACTGCGCGGCCAGCTGGAAAAACTTGATGTCGCTCCACTCCACCCCATCGATGGACACTGCAAAGGAACGGGGGGAGGTTAGAGCAGGGCCTAGCAGCTGGCTCGGGGTGCAGGGGGTGGCCTGGGGCAGCTAGCCCCTGCTGACCTATAGCTCTGAGGCTCCTGTGCCCCTAGCCCGCCTATGCTGCCCCCACTGGATGGCAAGTGACACTGTCCCAGCCCTGGAACTGAACAAACAGACTGGATAATTCCCACCTGCCTCCCCAACACTGGTATTGCGGGGTGGTTGTTAAAGCGCCGCCCCACCCCAGAAGTGGCAGCATTTCCACGCTGGACAAGAGACCTCTGGATCAACAGCTACCTCGCCTCAGAGCTGGTTGCATTTCAGCATCCTTCTATAAACATCCCTGCGCTCCCACCCAGAGGTGGCTGCATCTCAGTGAGAGACGAGGGACCCCTGTATAACCAGCTGCCTTGCCCCAGAGGTAGCTGCACTGCAGAGGCAGGCCTTACCTTTCATCATGGTTTGCTGCTGCTTGGCAGAGCAGATTAGCCGGCTGATGCCCTCAATCACCTGGCTCTTGGAATCCACTTCCTTTTCTTTGGGTTTCTTACTCAGAAAGATGGTGGGGACTGGAACGAGAGGCAGGGGAGCCCGGATTAGCGGGCGGTCAGCACAAGCCTTTAGACAGCAGTGCTGAGGGGAGGGCAGCTGGGCAAGAGGCAGGATGTGGCATCCCAGAGGCTGGTGGTGACACATGGACCCTGCACTCAGTGCCCAGCCTCGCCCCAAGTCCTGCTGTGGAGGGACGGAGGAACTGGCAGCCACAGGCTGGGAATGGCAGAGAGAGAACGCCCCCAGCTGGGTGCAATTCGAGCACTGGCTGTTAGACGTACCTTGGGGCCCTGTGCTCAGCCCCCCAGAGTCTCTGAGGGGTCAATCAGGAGCCCACGTGGGTGCTAGTGGGTCATATATAGCTCTCAAAGCACTTACAGAGTCTGCGCCCCATCGCGTGTGTGTGGGCGGGGGGGGGGGGGGGGGGGCACAGGGGGTAGTGATGCGCCCAAGGTCATGCCGTGAGTGGCAGAGCCAGACCCAGGCATCCGGGGCCCCATCTACTGCACCCCAATGTGTTTCTTAGGGCAGTGACTCAAACCTGGCTCAACTCTGGCTCGAAGCTCAGAGGACAACAGCTGGTAGCAGCAGGGGCTGGACACCCCAGGGCCAGAGGCCAGTTCCAGCTGACTCCTTCCTGCCAAGCTCCAGACTCGGGGCAGGGCCCCACACTGCAGCAGCAGCAAGGGGTAGGCCACTTTCCTGGGCTAGGTTTGGCCAGGGAGACACTGTCCCAGCCCAGAGCTGCCAGGAGGGCTGTGGGGGAGCAGAACTTGCCCTGGGAGCCAGAGCAGGACTGAGCTCAGGGCCCCATGCAGAGATGCTGGGAAAGCCTCAGAGACACACACAGGTGCCAACTTCTCCTGGCGCCGGTGGGTGCTTGCCGCCCCGACTCAACCCCTGCCCCGCCCCCATTCCAACCCCTTCCCCAAAGTCCCCGCCTCAACTCCGCCCCCTCCCTGCCCTTATTGGACTCCTTCCCCAAATCCCCACCCTGGCCCCGCCTCCTCCCCTGAGCGCATTCCTGCTCCTCCCCACTCCCTCCCACAGCTTGTTGCTGCGAAACAGCTGTTTCGCGGCAGCAAGTGCTGGGAAGAGAAGTGGGGACGCAGCGTGCTCAGGGGAGGAGGCGGAGGTGAGCTGGGGCAGGGGGGCGGGGAGCTGTTTTTTCCATGGGGGAAAAACAGGCAGCAGCCGCCCGCCCGTCTGCGCAGTGGGAAAACTGCAACCCAGAGCTGCACCTTCAGCGAGTTTGAGGCCAGAAAGGCATTGTGAACCTCCAGCCTGACCCCTACCTCGCCTGGCCCAGGGAGCCCTGCCTCAGCGTCAGGCAGGAGCGGAGCTTTTACAGAGAGACGTCCTGTCTGGATTGGGAGATGCCACGTGCTGGAGAACCTCCCCACCCCTATCCCTGGGGCAGTTCTTCCAAGGGCGAATCCTCCTCCCTGTTAAACACTGGCCCCTTGGTTCCAGGCGGAATGTGTCGGGCCTCGCTCCCAGCCCTTGGCCTGTGTCTGCGCCATTAGAGAGCTTTAGCTTATCATCATGGTCAAGAGGCGACTCAGTCCTGGCTCTGAGTACCACCTCCTTCCTACAGGGCATCTCCATTCCTGGCGCCTTGAAGCCACGGCAGCCCGTTCGGTACCATCCTCTGCTGGTCCCTGTGGATGAACAGCTCCTCGGATCCACCCAGGAGACGCATCATCCAGCCAAGAGCTGCTTCCTGCTCTTCTGCCACCAGCTCCTCTTCCAGCGCTCGCACACAGGCATCACCCGCTGAACTCGTCAGATGTGCCCTGCAGACCGAATCTGCCTGCCAAAAGTAGCTAGTGGCTGCTGAGCTCCAGTCGTCTCCAATACTTTTCCGCTGGTCACTCAGTCTACCCACCGTGTCTTCAGAATTCCTCTAGCTCCATACTTCGTGGGACTGTAAGGACATTCCCAGGAAGAAAACCCCAGGCACTATCGGGCTCTTTAATGTAGCAGAGAAGGTGGAACAAGAACCAAGGGGTGAGAGCTGAAGCCAGACCCATTCACACTGGAAATGAGGCATCAACATTACTAGTGTGGAGGATTAACCATCAGGGGGTGTCTCCAAATCCAACCTGGCTGCCTTTCGGGCAAATGCTTTTGTCAAACCCACGCGCCTGGGCTCAGTGCAGGAGGTCATCCCTGGGAGTGGGATGACGTTCTCTGGCCCGGGCCATCCAGGAGGTCAGACCAGATGATCTAATGGGCGCGTCTGGCCTTAGTGTCTATGACCGCACTGTCCGAAATCTCCTCCCCACCCACGGAAGTACTCGTAGCTGTGAGTGAGTCTCCTCCGAACCGCCTCAGCCCACGTTCTTGCCATGGACTAGACTGCGCGCATGTTCCATTTCTCGCTGTCGGCCGCAGTGAGAAAGGCAGAATCCAGAGCCCAGTGCGAAGGAGCAGGGGCCTGTTTAGACTGACAGCCTCCCAGTGACACCCCCGCTCAGTCAGCTCCTCCAGAGTATGGGGTGACCAAGGGGGCTGGGAAAGACGTGGCAGTAGCAGAGCCGCCAATGACGGGGAGTGGGGAGAGAGGGGCGCATTTGCCGCTGCCTCCTGAAGAGGGAAGGCAGAGCTGGGTTGCAAACAGCAGCACCTTGCATGCTTAGCCCCGGGCAGCCTGCAGAGGGCAGCGTGGGAGCGTCCTGAGGACACAGCCTTGCCGCTTGCAGCCCCTGGCACTTTTTGTGGGGAGAAAAGGGGCTGGCGGAGTCCCTAGCTCAGAGGAGGTACAGAATGGGCTTCCCCCTTAGCTAGCAGGACTTCTCTGGGGCCCACACACAGGGCCTAGCCAGTCTGCTGCCCCTAGCATGTCCAAGGAATGGGCCAGTTAGTGCCAATTCCGGAGATGACAAATGGACAATGTTCCATGGGGACACTGTGATCAGGGGACTTGAGGTCATTACTGCCCTGGGGCCAGATCGGAGGCAGCACCCCTAGAGGGAAAAGGCCCCAGCTTCCATTCCCCACCCCCTCACAGGGGGCCAGTGCTACCAGCCTGACGGCCGTCCAACCCCCACGCACCAACCTTTCTTGTTCTTCTCTTTGGTGACGACTGTCATGGCCATGGTCCCCGAGGGCTGGCTCTCCCCGCCGCTGGGCAGCCGCGACACCTGCACCGAGCGGAAGACACTCTTGAGGGTGTTCTTGGAGCTGGCATCTCGCTTCTCGCCCTCCTTCCGGCGCTCCGTGGGATGGGCGAGCCAGTAGTCCACCTGCAGGCCAATGACGTCTCCGTAGGGGCTGCTGGGGGACCTGAGGACAGTGGGGAAGCATCAGCAGCAGCTGGGCAGAGCAGGGGTTCACCCCCAAGGGGCAGGACAGTACCATCCACATCACAGAGATGGGGAAACTGAGGCATGGTTGGGAGGGCCCTGCCCAAAGACCTATAACAAGTCAGTGGCAGAGCTGGAAGAGAACCCAGGAGTTCTGGCTCCCAGTGCCAGGATACTGGGGGCCCAGCAGAGCAAATTCAGTGCCAGACTCCTGGGCTGACGGCTCCTGGGGGATCCCAATGCCCCCTGCAAATGGTAACTAACTCTGATACCTTCAGGAGGCGAGTGAACGCCAGCCTGCTTTGCTGAGGGCACAGGAAGCACAGAGGTAGCGTGACTTGACCCAGAATTAGGTACAGAGCCTAGGTCCCCCTCCTCTAACCCACTAGACCCCATGCCCCTCCCAGAGCCAGGGACAGAACCCAGGAGTCCTGACTTCCCGTGTTCTTGCTTTAAGCACTAGCTCAGAGCGAGCCCCAGATGTAGGACTCAAGAGGACTGCCTCACCCTGCATGGGTGGGGGCACGGGGGCACCAGCCACTCAAGGGCACTCATAGGGAAGGGACCTGCCAGCACCAGGAGCTCCAAGAGCTGGACAGCCCCGACCCCACGATGGCAGAGGCTATTACTGAGCACGTGCCCACAGACCCATTCTACCGTGATGGCCTCGCATACAACCGGGCACCCAGATGCCAGGGTTCCCCCAGCTGCTGCTGACTCCCTGTGTGGCTAAGCTCGTCCCTTCCCCCACCCAGGCCTCATTCTCCCCAGCTCGAACATGGCAGAAATTATCTGCCCTGCGGGATGCCCAGTCGCAGCCCTGCCCCAGCGTGCTAGGCCCTGCACACACACGGATGGTGCCAATCTACTGGCCGGGGCATGGGGTTCCTCATTAACGACCATGGGGCAGGTGGCCAAGGCTGCCTCACCCCACGACAGCGAGCCCACTGCTCATGGACGGCGAGGATGGGGGGGTGGCACAGACGTCCTTCACCAGGCCGGAGGAAGAGGGGGGGGACGTGGAGGGAACCGTCAGGCTGACCACGGGCGCATCGTCTCCATCTCCTGCCGAGAGAGCAGAGGGGGAATCTGGGGTGAGGCAGGTTCCGGGCCGTGCCACACAGACTAATTTCTCCCCCAGACCTCCTGGTTCCCCACAGGGCGCCTTGGCTTCACCACAGGGGCTCCCTCCCCTGTCTCCCCACAGGGGCTCCCTGGCCTCCCCACAGGGGCTTCGTGGCAGGCACCAAGTCCGCGATGCTGGTGCATTCCTCTTCCCCAAGTTCTCGTCTCCAGCCATGCCCCAGTCGGAGCAGGCCCAGGCCCTATTGCAGGTGTGTCAGCCAGGCCCCTACCCACTCTGGGCTGGCGGGAGATGAGCTCGCTGCTGCCGCCAGCCACCCAGTCACTCCTGTGGTGAGAGAGCTCCCAGGCCCTGCCCAGAGGAGGACCTGGGGACGGGGGCGCTCTGGGGGTACCAGGCTAAGGGGCGTCCTGAGCCACGAGGCGCTGTCTCCTCCCTGGGCAGGTTCCACAGCCCTAGTGACTCCCCTTCAACGTTTCAACTCTTGCATTGCATCATCCCCCTGCCCCCCAGCCCAAACGGATTCAGCCCCCAGCCTCCCTGCGGGGATCCGGCCATCACTCCCTGTCCAGCCGGAGCGAGAGGGGAACAAGCCGAGCAGCAGCCTGGAGCTGGGGGAGGGGGAATCCCAGGGGCAGATCCCGTTGCTTGGACAACCCCCCACTCCAGTGGCAGCAGGGGGCAGTAAAAGCCCAGCTGGAAGCGGGTCCCTTGAGCTGAGGCTGGGCTGTGGGCGGAGGGTGAGAAGGGGGAGGATGGAGGGGAGGGTCTCTCAGCCAGACGGGGCCTCACCCTGCCTTTAACCAACCATGTTCCTGGCCCTGCTGACTGCGGAGGAAGCCCTGGGCCTGCCCAGCTCAGCACAGAGCCTAAGAGCAGCTCGGGGAGGTGGGAACTCTGCCCCCGGACTCCCGACATGGCACCAGTCCCAGCCGGCCTGGACCCAGCTGGGGGTCGGCCTGGCAGGGGACGTACCTGTGGCTGCAGGGGAATCTTCGATGAGGCCCACTTTAACCACCTGCAATGGGGAGACAGAGATCAGTAATTCAGGCCGCGCTGGAAATCAATACTGCCAGCCTGCCCAGGAGGAGCCATTTGAGCCTGCTCCTCTTGGAGACCCAGAGCCGCAGGGCCAAGGTTGTCGTTAACCCTTCCTGCACCATGGGAGAAGAGCTTACATCCCCACTCGCGCTCCACCAGCTCCGTGCAGAAATCTAGGTGGACGGGACCCCCCAAGATCTTTGCATCTGGGCTGCCCACAGGCTAAGCACCATGCACCCCTGGGGTGACAGCGAGTGGGGGATGCCCTCTCCCGGCCATTAACCCTGGCTGGCATCCCAGTGTACAAAGCAATGGCAGCCTCACCCTCTGGGACATTGTGTTGGAGTGTTTACAATGGCAGGGCAAGGAGTCGCCCTGTCACTCCAGTGCGCTGAAAGTATCCGGACAACAGCGAGCCCCTCCAGGCAATGGGGGCTGCCCTCCCCCTTTGTTCCTTCCATCAGAGAGCATAACCCAGCCATTGCCCCAGGACACTCTATGCAGAGCCTGTCAGGCTACAGCAGAAGCATTATCCCATATTACAGATGGGGAAACTGAGGCACAGAGCAGGGCCGTGACTCGCCCAAGGCACCCAGCAGGCCAGTGGCAGACCTGGGAATAGAACTCAGGATTCCTCACTCCCAAGCCAGTTCTCTATCCACTAGGGAGCAGCGAAGGGCTGGAAACACTAACTCCAGTCCTCCAAGCAGACCTCTGTGGGGAAGGACACAGCAGAGAGGCTCTGATCACTGTTGATTATTCCCGTGGTTTAACCCTCGCAGGCCCATGCCCCTGGGCGGAGGCCCTCGGTTTCGGCCGGCCTGCCTCAGGGCCCAGTGAGCTCGGAGCAGCAGTCCCAGCGCTCTATGGGGAGAAGGGGCTCTCGTGCAAAAGTCACTGCATTCCCTGCTCAGTGGGCGGATGGCGCCCCCTGGTGGCCAGCAGAGCTCACACCCCTCGCAGCCACTGCAGTGAGTCTGGGGCTGAGCAGCGTGATCCAGGCCCTCTGGGTGTCGGAGACGCAATGGGGCTGGCACACCGCAGAGAGCCTGGCTCTGGAGCGGTTTTGCCCGCGTGGATCCCACGACAGCAGAAGTACCGAGAGTTACCTGCTTACCAGGGAGTGGGATTAACCCCCAGAAGAACTGACCCAGGGCCAGGGCAGGGGGGTTAATTCCAGTCTGCTTTAGCACCAACACTGATGGGCTGGAGGCAGGGAGCCCTACCCTGGGTGAGGCAGGGCTCAAACTGGAGGGTCACAATGGGCCTTGCCCCACCCCAGCGGTGTTCCTGGGCCCCCACTGGAGAGGCCCCAGGGAGAGCTAGACGCCCAAGGGGGCAGCCTTACCCCGATGAAAGGAATGAACTTCTGATAGGAGTCTTCGTCCGGGCTGCGGGGAGAGGAGGAGACGAGTGTTAGGGTCTGCTGGGGGGTGGGCGGTGAGCCGGGGCCCATCAGGCAGGGAATGCCTCACCCTGCATGCATGAGGGGCATCCGAAGCTCACCGGGCTGAATGACCCCCCCCCCCCGTCCCCACCACGTTACTGACAGTGACCACGGTACGGTTCCCACCTGATGAGGCGGGTAAGTTCCCGTCCCCATGCCAGAGGGGCTGGGACACAAAGGGAACTGGCGCTCCAGAAACACACCCAGATTCGGGGCAGCTTTGAGAGAGGTGGAAACAAGACAAGGCACGGAGAGGGGAAGTGATGTGTCCGAGGTCACACACTGAGTAGTGGCCGAGCCAGGACCAGAACCCAGGAGTCCTGGTTCCCAGCTGCCTGCTCTAACCACCAGTCCTCAATCTCCTTCCCACTCCCAGAACAGGGACCAGAACCCAGGAGTCCTGATCACAGCCGCCCTGGCAGTGATCTTTAACAGCTTTGCTATCCCAACTGAAAGGGTCTTTTGGGTGCCTGTAACGTGCGACCAGCCCCCTGCCGCAGGAGAGTCGCCCGGGCAACACTTACAACTTATGCTTGCAAGTCAGCATGGCCTCGGCCACAGGCAGCTGGTGGGTCGTGCTGGCTCCGCCCACATACTGCACGATGCGGCCCACCACATCGAACGGCTCTGGGGGCAGAGGGGAGAGAGGGGTGTGACCAGCAATCCCCACAGAGCCCGCTCCCTGCCTCCTTGTCCCCGAGCCCGCAGCAGGGGTGAGCTGCACAGCAGAGCCAGGGCGCCCCCCGCTGGCTGAGTGGCGGCAGAGGCGAGGGTGCTCTCGTTGCAGAGGGGAAGGGGGTGTGTGGGTCAGAGGGGATTCTGCCCCAGGCAGGGGCGGCTGAGGGAGAAGCAGGTGGCCAGGCAGCAAGGCTGGAGGGCCAGAGCTTATGCTGCAGTAGGAAGGGGGCAGGACACGTTCTCACCCAAAGCTCCCCTTGGCCCCACCGGAGGCCCCCCCCTCCCCCCACTGCACACCGGGCTGGAGCTGTGACCCTTTCGATGACCCCTGGTGCTGGGGGCAGGCCCCAGGGAATAAACCAGGGCTCAGGAAGGAATTGGCCAGGCCTGCTCTGTGCAGACAGAACAGCCATTGCCATAGGGGAGCCCAAGCCACATCCCAACAGCCGGGCCCACCCCTACCCCACAGACCGTGACCAGCTCTAGCTGCTCCCTCACTAGCCCCTGGGGAACAGCGACCCACAGCCCTCCCTGTCCAACAGCACGGGGCCCATGGACACTGTGCTTGGTGCTGCACGGCCCCTCACCTGTCCCGGGGGCCTCAGCCCTGCCAAACAGCTCCCTCCAGGCGGAGTCCAGGAACGTGCAGCTGTACCTGCTGTCCACCGAGCCCAGGTACTTGGCTACGGGGTGGGAGCCTGCGGAGGAGAGAAAGGTGGGTGTTCTAGCGCCCCCTGTGGGGGTTCTTTGCTGTGCACTACAGCGCCCGCAGGAGGAGTCCTTCAGCCGGGTGCTTCCGAGGGGCATGGGCAGCGCCCCCTACAGCCCCAGGGATGCTGTTACAGGAGCGATGGTCTAGCTGTCCTGTGGATGCCATATCCGAGACTCCCACCCATCCTGACGGGCCTTTACCCAGCTCCATAGCAACGCAGAGGCCTTTCCCAGCTGCTGTGTTGGTATCCCCAGCAGGAGGCGGCCACCACCCAGCGGGCACCCGCTACAGACCCAGATGTGCTTTGCTCAGCCCCCCCTCTGTGCACCCCTGGGTGTCAGCGTCGGACCCCGCACCCGCGGCTTAGCCACACTAACAGGGAGAGGCTAGAACAAGGCCTGCACCAACAGCCTCACTCTGGCTGCAGGGGGGTCAAGTAGGACTCGCGCCAGCTGGGCGGGGTCTGGACAGAGGCACCTACCCAGCGGGACGATGAGGAACCGCATGTAGCTAAGCCAGTCTGGGGTCTTGTTCGCCAGCTGCTTCACAAAGAAACGGAGGATGGCACTGAGGTAACTCTGCCCCCCCACAGCCACCACCTTCACGGGCCGCGGCACGGAGGAGTTGCAGTTGCAGCTGGAAAAGAAAGGACAATGGGAATGTGTGTGCTTATTGCACCCCTCTGCCTGCAGGATGCGACGCTTAAACATGCTAGGCAGCGAGCCCTCGCCTGGTGCTGAGACCTGACCAACTCTGGCCTGGGGCACCGGGGCCGTTTATACAGGGATCCCTCACCGTGTGCTGAGATGCAGCCAGCTCTGGGGTAGGACACAGGGGCCATTCATACAGGAGTCCCTTGGCTAGCGAGGAAGACAATGAGTGCCCCTCCCCATACACTGGGGTAGGCAGTACAGCCACGGAGGGCTGCTGTTCCTGCCAGGCTGCAATGCACCGAGTTGATGAGCGGCTGCTATCTCCGGCACTGCCATGCCCAGCCATAATTACCATGCCAGGGAGCAGGCAGTAAATCCCAGCAGAGTGCTCCAGCGGGACTCGCAGATGAAAAGCTTTGCCCTGAGCAGGGCAGCAGCCCGTGGAGCAGTGACGTCAGCAACCTGCCAGCTAGACAGAGCGGCTGCCGCCCGCACTGAGGAAGGGCCCCTCTGAGGGAGGAGCCAGCAGAGTCCGCGCAGCGCCTGGCATTGCTGCTCTCTGCCCCATGGAGCATCCTGGGGGTCCTGACGCCGCTCCAGCCTCTCTCAGCCCTGGGACCCAGCGTGCCCCCACCGAGCTGTGGAGGTGGCTCTGGGAGCAGCTCCCAATGGCTCAGCCCCCTGCCAGGCCCAGCGCATGTGCTCAGGACCAAGGACCCCTCCAGCATTGCTAATGCCCAGCACGTCCACGGGCCTGGCGCCCTACAGCCCAGCCCAGCGCTGCGCCTCTAGCTGCTGATCTAGGGCAGCTACAGTTAAACGTGCCACAGAAGGGCCACCACTAGAGGGCACCAGAGAACCACCAACTTCCTTTAGGCAGCTAATAGGGCCAAAGAAAGGAGCTACCAATGGCTTGGGGAAAGCCTGTCCCTAGGCGAGGGAAGAGATCAGCATTACAGTGCAGTGTCATGTGCCCTCCCAGCTATGCCATCCTAGACCCCCTCCCTGTATTTCACTAGCCCCTCTGCTCCCCTTTTCACCAGCATGCAACTGCTGGTGCAAGAGCCTTCTCCTCTGCAGTTCCTCCCCATCTCACCTGCCTGAGCTGACAGCGTCTCCTCTCCCCTTTGCTTAGGCCTCTGCCTCTCCCCTCCTCTGCCAAGCAGAACAATGCTAGACCTCTTCCTTCAGGAGTATAAGTGGCTGCAGGCACTGCCTCCACGCCATCAGTACTCAAATCCCGCTTCGTGGGGGCCACCAGATTCAAGGCCTGGACCACAGGCATGAGAGCAGGGGAGTGATTTTGCTGGAAGCTGTGACCCCAGGGGGTGCAGTGGATTCTGTAACAGCCTGCGATAGCAGGAACAGGACTTGATGGCCCAGGGGGCCCCTTCTAGTCCTATGTCCAAATGCAAAGAGGGCAGGGATGTTCACGCTCACACAGGTTGTCCTCTCCCGGGGAAAGGAGCGTGGGCCCAGGTTTCCCCTTCAGATAGACCCCTGGGGGGGAGGGCTCCAGGCTGACAGGGCGTGGGTGATCTGCAGAGGAAAGCAATGGGCTTCCAGCCTTTCTTGCATTTTTCTGATCTAACCATCCAGGTTTGCTTTCGGCACCTGTCCATGCAGGATCTGATGCACAAAGACAGGCGGGAGAAACAAACTTTCAATTATCTACTTCAGAAGAAAGTGAAGTCGGAGCGTTCCCGGAGGTCTCCATGGGCGCGCTGGAGAGGTGGATTGGGAGCTCACTCCCCTTTGGTGACGGAAGGGGGTGGAATTGTTAGGAAAGAACATTTCTCCCAGCTGTCTGTAGAGCATCTAAGGCCTTGTCTACTCTATGGGGGGAGATCGATCTAAGTTATGCAACTTCAGCTACATGAATAATGTAGCTGAAGTCAACGTACTTAGATCTACTTCCCGCGGGGTCCACACTATGCAATGTTGATGGGAGACGCTCTCCCGTCGACTCCCCTTGCGCTTCTCGTTCAGGTGGAGTACAGGAGTCGACAGGAGAGCAATCTGCGGTCAAGACATGCTAAAATCGACCGCTGATGCATCGATCGCCACGCGTCGATCCCCCAGGAAGTGAAGACAAGCCCAAGTTGCAGGTGTTACTACGTCCTGCCCGTCTGACTCAGCCTGCACCTTTTTTGGTACCTGGACTGGTAATTCTTTTACTAGCTCTCCAGTTGCCCATAGAGTCTCCTGGAGAGAGACAAGGCCGATGGGACCTGACTTTCTAACAGGCACATTTTGGCTTGTTTTTTTCAGGGAAATCTTTCGTACTTTTCTACATCTTAAATAACCCTCAAGCGCCTGTCTCTCTGCCATGCAGGCGGACGGAGAGATGCTCTATGGAACAGTTAGCCGCCTGCATTACAATCGGCTCACCTGAAAACAACCCCAGGGAACAGACAGCATTTTAAAGTGTGGAGATGGGCAGAAAGAGTGGGTAAAAATAGCCCGGCTGCATCCCCAGCCAGCTGCTGCTGAGTCACGGCTGCGGCGGTCACTGAAAGGCCTGCGTACCTACACTGCTGGCAGCGTCTGCAGAGCACCTCTAGCTGCAGGGAAGCAGCCCCGTGGCGGAGCTGCTGGCAAGGCATGACCTGGGTTAGGAGCAGAGCCGGCTGGGGAGCAGTGGAGATTGCAGACTGTAGGCAAGGCCTAGGCGGCTCCACTTGTGCATGAAGCAGGCTGGGGTTTGTCCCTCAAATACCACAATATTCAGAGTCATAGGCAAGAGAACCATGGAAAGACTCCAGCCCTCACGTTCCTGCACTATGAACTAAGTATCTTACACATCTGTGGCAGCCTTCACCCTGCAGGCCCCTGCTGTGCTATACACCACCGCATGAATCATCCACTACTAGAATGCAGCCTCCTCTGGGGTGGAACACAGCAGCTATTATATAGAGATAGTTCATCTAGCAAGGAAATGCAGCCAGTTCTGGAGAGAGATGTTGGGGGGGGGGGAATACAGGGAATACCTGCCCAGCAATGAAATGCCTCTGGGGTGGGGCAAGGGGCTGTTTGTAGAGGGACCTCTTGCTGAGGGCTGAGATGCAACCAGCTCTGGTGTGGAACACAGCAGTCGTTTGACAGCTTAGAGCACATAAAGTGAAGCAGCCAGGGATGTTTTAAATGGATGGAACATAATTACCATGCCGGACTCTGGGAGCTAACGGGCAGGAACATGATACTGTCAGGAGTCCCTGAATGAACACAAATGGCCAGGAACTTGGTTTTATTTCCCATCTGAAAACAGCATCTCAAGTGGCATAGGACTAGCATCACCTTGGGTCAGTGGTTCAGTCCTGGATCCGAACGAAATGCTCCCCCTACTGGATCAACAGCCCTTCCTCCTACTTTACCACACTCCTAACTACGGGCGCCAGGAGTAGCCTGGAGGAGAGCACTCCTTACTCAGTCCCCCACCCAGCTCCCTGCAGCACAGCGCCTCCTAGTGCCATGCTGGGGTGTTGGGACCTGCATTGACTGTGAGGGAACAGCACCCCCAATTGAGCTCCTGCCCCACTCCCTGCAGCACAGCGCCCCCTAGCACCACACTGGGGCATTGGTTTGGTATCAACTCCGAGGGGAGAGTGCCCTCTAATGAACCTCCAACATCACTCATGCCACATCTTGGTTTTGCCTGGAGGCCTCCCATTCCAAGCACTGACCTGGCCCCACCCTGCTTAGCTTGCAAGAGCTGACTTATAACCCACGGCAGGGTTAGCTAATAGAGCAACTCCACCATACCCATATCGACGGGAACCATCTGCCCCTGGTGCTGGGACCGGAGGGCCACCGTCCTTTACTCACTATCTCTGGATCCTGGTGAGTACAGCGGACAGGACGGCCTGTACTTCCACGGTGGAGCATGTGCACACGACTGGCTTCTTCTGGTCCCGGAGCAGCTCGGCCACATACTGGCAAGGAGAGGAGGAAAGGTGAGCACAGCATGCCCGTGTGTATGGGAGCAAAGGGATCGGTTACAACACCTGCCACGCAATACTCCTCCTCTGTGCTTAGCAACCAGAGTCCCTGGGGAGAGGTGAGTAAGCGTGCACCTCCCCGCGCCAGCTGGCTGTTCCTGCCGAGGGCCGGCAGGCTGTGGGGGCACAGGCAGTAATGGCCATGGGGTGTGAGTTCATTCCAGACTGCCAAGGGCCGGGAGTGCTGTGGCTGCCTAGTGAGTGGGAAGTGGCAGCTGTGAGGCAGCAGAGGCTGGTTTGCTCGGGGCTTGGCAATCTCAGGTGTGAGATCAAGACAAGTCAAGGGTCAGTACGACAGTGCTGGAGACTCCCCTTCATGGCTTGCAGAGGCATGCTGCCTACAATGCCCACGCAGCAGGTGCCAGTGAGGGACCCACTCGAGGGCAGGGGAGAGGAGTCAAGGTCTCTCCACAGAGTGTGCAAACAGGAGTGGGCCTGTCAGCTGCAATTCAGAGGGTGCTGTGTACTCTGGGGGCGACTGTGCAGGGCAGGAGGACTGGGCCTCGAGAGGTGCTTGGTATTGCGGTGAGGAGGGCTGGCGAGGGACACGCAGAGACCCAGAGCCGTTGGATCACACGCTTGCCCTGGTCTGGACTGGGAAAGATCAGCATCCGCGCCAGAGCTTCCAGCCCACCTATAGCCACAGCTCGGGGAGACTCCATGCCAAGTCAAGGGGGATGCTCAGATGGGATTCAAACTCTGCCACCCAGTCACAGCAGCAGCATTAATGCTCACCTGTGGGGCAGCCAACCCAGCCCCTCCCCCTGGCATTTCCCATTCAGCCCCTGCCCCAGCTCAGCCCAGGCAATGCCCTGCACTCCCACTGCTCGCACAGACCGGAGGACCACCTAACAGGCTCCCCTGCCGGCACCGGCTCCCCACAGAGGCTGGCTCCAGGCGACGGCCCCTCTGTGGAGCAGCCAGTTCCACTCCCAGGGCAGCAGGGCTCCGAGGGCCCGGGTGACCCGAGCTGTCACTCAGTTTGCATTGGACAAGGCAGGCACTGTGATGGCAGCAGAGCCCAGAGACTGGCAGGAAGGGAGATAGGCCCCATCCCCTCGCTCAGGGCTGAGGCACGTCAACGGAAGACAGGGAAAGAGAGGGGCCTCATCTCCATGGGTCACTGCCACCCCTGCCCAGCAGCACCTGCAGGGTCCCGTCCCAGGGCCGGCCTCCCTACCTGGCCTTGCCAATCGGCCGCATTCACCAGGATGATGTTCTCGGGGAGGGCCGTGTCCGACACCAGGATCTGGTTCAGCTGGTCATAGACAATCTTGCGAGGAATCTGTTGGGGAGGGAGGGTGAGGGGAGGGCTAAGCCTTGGCAGGGCACAGGTGACACACACTGGGCTGGGCCAGAACCCTGGAGGTTCCCCTGGTGAGCTGCTGTTACCAGGAGCCCGGCCCTCGGCCTTTCCTTCAGCTCTGCATATCCAGCCACCTGCCACGAGGCCCCTGCCGCCCCCCAGCACAGCTGCGTTGGCAGGGAGAGGAGGGAAGGCGACTCCTGCAGGGGGAGTTCAGGGAGGGAGATCCATTAGCTCAACTAGAATGTGGCCAAGACATGGGAGCCAGCTCTGTTATACACAGTGCCTGGGATCTGTGCTGGCAGGACACAACGGTACAGATCATCTGGAAGATGGAAAGCTACAGCACAAAGCGTCCCCTAGTGCTGCGCTGGGGCACTGGAGCCAGGACTGACCCAAGGGAGAGTGCCCCCTACTGAGCACACACACCCCCTACTGAGCACACCCCCCCCGCAGCACTGCGCCCCCTAGTGCTGCACTGGAACCAGCACCGACCGAAGGGAGAGCACCCCGTACTGAGCATCCCCTCCACCCCCCGCAGCACTGCACCCCCAATGCCATTGCTTCAGTACAGTTAGAGAGAAGCTCCCCATTGATGTCGCTCATTGCAGCCCCTGGCTCTCCGTACAGGACTCCCAGGCAACCGACCGTGTTTGACTAGATCTGTGATGAGCTCCCAGCAGTAGGTGGCGCAGGCTGGGATCACCCCTCCATGGAGCAGTGCCTGGGGTTGCATTCACATCACCTGTGTGCTATGGCCCAGGTCCGGGGACCTCTCGCTGTCCGAGCTGTTGGTCCGTTCGCTCAGGGGCTTGGAGAGCTGTCTCTCCTTCAGCGGGGTGCTTCTCTTCTGCCGGGGCGTGTGCGCTGCACCTTCCATTTTGCTGCAGCAGACAAAGGACAGTGCTGTTGGCCTGGTTCCCTGGCATGGCACAGCATCCAACTGGGAGAGCAGGGTCCTTCCCCCATGCACCAGGGTCTCTCATTGCAGATACACACACAGGCCCGGCTCAGGTCTGAGCCACGCCCTGGGGCTCCTGTGAGCGTTTGCACCAGGACAACGCTTGTCCGCTGGCAAGGGAACAGAATGGCATGGCCAGGTGACGGGTTTCCTGGCACATTGTCAAGAGTGGGAGCTGAGCAACACTGCTGGGTACAACCAGGACTGGGTGGGCTGGTCAGACACAGAGCGAGCCCACGTACAGTCTGTAGACAGCACAGGCTGAGAGGGAACCCCAGGGGCGGGCTGTCCCCCCTCCTCTACCAGCAGATCCAAGGCGGGCTCCTAGCCAGGAAGGTGCCCACCCTTTGCCAAGGGTTCAGAGGGCTCTCTGCCACGATCCAGATTCCTCCAGCAATCCCAGAGCAGCAGAGGGGGCTGTGCTAGGTGCTGGGGCTCGATCCCCACAGGAATGCAGAGCCCGCCAATGGCTGACAGGTTTGGCATCTCTCCTGGAGCACCGAGACCCTGAAGGGGTGAGAACCATGCTGTGCAAGCCTTGGACATATGAGCTTACAAACCAAGACAACAAAGCAACATGGGGGGCGGGGGACCCAGAACATGGCCAGTTTAGAGCACAAAACTCCACGCTCCTGCCCACACCCCCCTCCCTCAGTAGGGCAAGACGGGCATGCTCTCCAGCCCAGACCCCTGTGGGATGAGGTTGGCATGCACACCAGCTTACACTCCCCCCCACAGAGCTGGGGATAGAACCCAGGAGTCCTGGCTCCCAGCCCCCCGGCTCTGACCCAGTAGACCCCACTCCCCTCCCAGAGCTGGGACACAACCTGGGAGTGCAGATCCCCAGTCCCCTGCTCTAACCATTAGACCCTGCCACTGCATTGCTAAGGGATATTTGCCAGTTCCCCCATTAGAGTGTGCCACTCCCCTGAAACGTGACCTTGGCTCAGATGGCCCCACCTTACTGCACAGGCCAGCTTGGGTACTGGAGGCCCAGCTCTTCCTTCACGGACTAGAATACAGTTTTAGTCCTTGCTCCTAGATTCAGACGTGTAAAGGCCAGAAGGGCTCGTTCTGATCGTACAGTCTGAGCTCCCCACCAGGGGCCAGCCCAGCCAGCTGATTTAGAGCTCCGTTAGTGCCCGAGAGCCAGCCCAGCTCCGGGGGAGGAGAGGTGGAATGTTATCCAGCTCATGCCCTCCCCGCCCCCAGAAGTTCAGACTCTCCCCTGCTGGAGGTGCGAGAGCCGGGGGCTCGCAGTGCTGGCAGGCAGGAAACCAGAGCTTTTTGCTTGTAAGCCTAGCAGCAGCGCTCCCAGGAGCCCGAGGACACAGCCCCCTCTGCTGCCACCTGACAGCAATTAAGCAAAGGCGTTAACTCCAGGACAAAGCAGCCTGGTGCTTTGCTCCAAGAAGGCGCTGCTCAGCGTCAGAGTGCAAGCAGCAGCTTCAGCACTATCAGGGAGACTAGGGGGCGGGATATTGATGGCTAAGCGCTTCCCACCCCCCCATAGCATCTGGGAGCGGGGCCGGCATGGCGAGCCTGCGTCACACACTGAAGATGCACTTTTGGCAAAGCAGGAGGCAGATGGGGCAGTTTTCCACTGGGAACAGAAAGGCCTTTGAACACACTAGGTATGTGGATCCAATCCTTCACTCAGTGCAGCTCCACTACGGCCCCACTGCCTTCACAGTGGGAGAAGCCTAGTACCCACGGGGGATGGGGGCCCCACACCACGCAGTCAAAGGTTCAAATCCAGCCACGATGAGATTGCCCACAGACCATCCAGTGCTGGGGGCTCAGAGCCACGAAGCATCACCACCCTCCCTGGCCTGGGATGGAACGGGCAATAACAGACCAGACCAGAAAACTGGCCAGGGGAAGATGCCTAATGCTGGGAACTGGATGCAAAATGCCACGCAGTCCTCTGAGCGCCCAACACCTGATATGGGGAAACTGAGGCGACATAGTGAGAACCACACATTCCAAGGGCAGAGCCAGAGTTGCAACCCAGGCCTCCTGACTCCTGCAACATCCCCTTTCTCTCTGGGAGGGTCTCAGGCAGTTCAGGTGCAACACACCAGGTTGTTCTGGCAGGGAATCTCAGCAGGGCTGTAACCAGCAGTTTGCTGTAAACCTCTCCAGTTCAGGGCCAACTCATTGGAGAGCACAAGGCAGGGGTTACCTCTGGGGGGCAAACCCCACTGATCCTGGTGATCTCGCCCCCCAGCCTGCCAGTGTGCGACATCAGTGACCTGTGACAAGCGAGGGATAGGTGCCCCCGGGGTTCTGGGGCTGGAGTGACAGTTCGAGTAAAGCCCACAGAGAGCCTGTGCTCAGGGAGAATTCAATAAACGAGTTCTATAAGAGAAAGCGAGTTCCACCAGCTGTGAGATCAAGGAGCCTCCTCCCTGGGTGACGAGCAGGATCTGAACCCCAACCCTGCAGAGTGCTGGGGAAAGGGGCCCGCCTGGGAATGGACAAGGAGGTGGAACCTGTCTATTAAGAGCTACATCAAGACAGGTCATGGAAGGGGAGCAGTGGTTGGTAGCTATCAGCCTGGCTAGGAGCCAACTCTCTAAAGGGGAAAGGGAAATGTCCTATTCTCTGCCCCCTGAGCCAGCCAAGCCCCCTGCCCTGGGCTGGCCTAGAACCAGTGCCCCCTAGAGGCAGTCACCTGCTGCCATGTCTCCCAACCCTGGTTTCAAAGCAGGCAGCTTACCTGGGTGATGCCATGCTCTGAAGCTCCCCCTTGCTGCTCTTCATGGGTGTCTTGACTTTTTCGGGGATGATTAACATGGTGCTGGAGTCTCCGAACGTGTCCTGTTCGCTTGCTTCCTACGGACACGGGGAGGGAACGAGGAGGCTCCAGAGCTCATTCTGGCGATCAACAGCTGGGGCCCTAATGGGCGACAATTCGCAGCCAAAAGCCACTGACTATGTCGTTCCAAGCAGCCACTGACTGTAGGTGCCAACTTGAGACAAGTTGGGCTCCACTGTCAGAGGGGCTGTGTCCCCCCATCCTGAGCTCAGCTTTGCGGCACTCTACACACTAGGCCATGCTGCCTCGAGGGGCAAACAGGCACCAGCGCAGGGTGTTACCTTGGGCATGTGAGCGCCCCCAAAAGGGAGAGGCCTGTACGTGCCACGTTCCCCTGGCTCCAGCTCCTAAGCCAGGCGGAGCACTGAAGGGAGAGTGGGGCAGCGCGGCTGGGGCATGTTACCAGGGTGTCTATTTCGCTGAGGCTGTCGTCCAGGTTTTTACTCCGCGAAGGTTTCAACTTGTCCCCGACGGCTGCGTCCATCTGAAAAAACAGCCAAGGGCAGAAGGATTGGGGAGTTACAGGTCTGGGGCAGCTGCGCTCGCCCCCCCCTCAGCCACCCCAGGGGCTGCTGCTCAGAGCCACTGGCCCAGCCGGGATCCCAACAGTGCTTCCCAGCTCATCCCCTGGAGTCCTGCCCCCTTGGCTGAGTGCTCCATCGAGACGGTGAAGCTCTTTGGGCAGGGTATGAAGGGCCAGGCCCACTCCGGGCATCTCCTGGCAGCACTGCCATTGTGCTGAGCAGGAACGCCTCACAGCCTCCTTGGGCTTCACTGCCCATCTGCCTGTGTCCACCGGCCGGCTCCTGGCTGACACTGGACTGGCGGCTCTCAGTGTTCGCACAGCACCTAGCGCACTGGGGTGCTGGGCCACGAGTGAGGGTACTGTGTGTTGGCGAATACAGATAATCAATGCTGATAAGTAGCAGCTTGGCCTTTTACAAACACTAGTGTTAGAAAACCCAGTTTGTATGTGCCGGGCTCTAGGGAAGCAAACTCTGCCTAGGAGCTGGGGAGCACCGCGGTGCCAGAGGGGAGACCCCACCGCCCTTCTGTGCACCAGAACTGCCTGGACTGAGGGAGGGTTGGGGGCAATTCCAAGGGGCCAGGATAGGTGCTGGCTAAGATTTTAGTGACTACAAGGCACAGGCAGCTGCCCCTTGCACTGACAGGCCGCACTGCTCTGCCTCGGCCACTGAGCCAGTCCCCAGGCCGAGCGGAACACAGCAGTTCAGCACTGCTCAGGGAGGAGCGGTCACCTGCCCGCGCCCAGCACTCTCGCAGCCACCTGGCTCCAGCAGAGAGCACAGATCCTGCGACTGCATTCACATGCATTGGAAGTCGAGGTCACGTACCAGCTGCGAATCACCAGCTCCGAATCACCTGGGCCTATGTCCAGCACCCCCCGCTGGAACACGGGACCCACTCCCTTCCTCTGCGATTACTCACCGGGCTGGTGGCATCTTTGCCCAGGCTCCCCTTGCTGTTAAGGCTTCCAATTTCTGTCTGGGAGCTGGACTGAGACATTCCCTCGAAGAAAGGCCTGGCAGGGAGAGATGCAGCGGGTCAGGGAACAAAGTGCTGCTGCAGACCCTGGCCCGGGGTGAGGAGAGGGTCAGAGGGATTCAAGCCTCATGGATGGCCTGTGCGAATCCCCAGCGTATTTCAGTGCCTACGGGCCGGCCTGCACGGTAGAAACTTTGGCTGATATTTGAAGCCCCCGTTTCCTCCCACGGTTTGCACTGCTCTGCAAGAGGCCCTCCAAACTGGCACAGGAGAGCACAGCAATGGGCGCTAGCGCAGGGCTCCCCGTCCCTTCCAGGTTCTCTGGCACTGTCTCAGCTACGGAGCATCGAACGCCCCAGCCTGGTTTGGAGCGACAGGCTCACCTTTCCCACAAGTACCTCTCTCCAGTGGCCTCTCCCACCCAGAGGCGTAGCGAGCGCCCTCCGTACCCTCCAACCGGAGGGGGCCCCGCAAGGAAGGGGGCCCCTAAAAGTGGCAAAATAAATACCGCATTCCAGTTTCTGCATTGTAAGGGGCCCCGCCCGGACATATGTTCGGAGGGGGCCACGTTCGGAGGGGGCCACATTCTTTGTTGCTACGGCCCTGCTCCCACTCCTGGAAATGCTGCAGGGCTGCCGGGCCCCCTCCTAGCTCCAAGCAGGGAAGGTTGGGGGCTGGGCAGACACACAGCAGGCCTCGTCTGCATGTGAAAGCTGAGACAGCGTCACTTACAGACCGAACTGAAACCGCTCCAGCTAGTCTGGTGCCAAAGGCCCTGTGGCTGCTGCAGCTCAAGTCGACTGGGAACAGGGTTAATTCAAACTGAGATCAGAGAGTGCCCGCATGGGGATTTGCACTGATCTCCCTGACACCATGCGAGTGTGTGCGCCGATCAGCCTCGCTCTGGTACCAGAGGGGCCTATGCCAGGTAAGCCTGAGTCCCGGGTCACCCACACAGCTGCAGCACCGTAATGACAGCTGATTTCACCCTGCAGGAGTCCAGTCAGCACAGAAGCCTGCAAGGCTGGTTTGGGCTAAGCCTGGCTTCTCTCTGTTCGACTCGCATCGGTCCATTTACTGGGAGCACTAACCCCATCGCACCAGTGTGAAACTGATATGAGTCCACACGCAAAAGCTGCAGCGATTTCCCACAACCCAGTGCGACGTCTGGGTATAGACAAGCCCCTGGGAATGGGTTACAGCTAAATCGCAACAAGGCCTTCTCTTACATCCAGGCGGCCTGGTGCCCTGACTTCCATTCACAGCTTCAGTCACACTGGTCCCCGGGAGAAACGTACACAGCCATCCGTCTCACACGCCTTCCCCAGGAGGCGGGGGAGCTGAGCTACAGAGAGGGGACGGGCGCAGCTGCCACGGCCCTCGGGTGGCAAGACTGGGGCAGGACAGAAGCAGGAGTCCCAGCACCTCATCCCCTGTTGTAGCCACTGTGTGGCCAAAAGCTTCTGCACAGTCAGCTACAGCTCAGTGCTCCTGCTCCGGTGTTTGAACCCTACCCAGCAAGTCCATGTCAAGCTCTGGCTCGCGGCAGCCCTAGGGAGCCACGTGGCGTCAGGGACGCAGTTCGGTCCAATCAGAACAAGGCTGGCTTTTAGGAGAGCAGCGGTGCTGTGCCCGGGCTGGATCAGAGCAGCGAGGGCCAGGGGAAGCGAGGGACATGAGGAGCTGCAGCGATGCTGAGAGCTGGGCAGTGCGGGGACAGCAAGCACCAGAGTCGGGGGGGGGGGGGGGGGGAGACCACGGGCTTGGGGGGGGGGGAGGGGGGAAGAGCGGGGGGGCTGGGGGGAGGGGTGTTATTGGTAGAGCTAGACTGGCAGCCCACACTTGCTTTGGGAAGGGGAGTGTGTGTGGAGGGGGGCTCAGATTGCTATCGGTGCCTGATTAGGCATGTGCGACGTTGGCCTTGGCTGTGACTCACACAGAATATGGCCCGCGATCTAAGGAGCCAGTTTTCCACAGCCGCTGACCAACCTGTGACTCCCAGCCCATTTGGCAATGCTGGAGAAGGGCCCCCATCCCCCTGCGATGGAACTGCACTCCCCACAGACCGCCATGTGGGTAAGGCACAGGGCTGGGAGTCAGGACTCCTGGATTCTCTTCCCAACTACGGGAAGTGATTGGGGTCCAGTGGGTTAGATCAGGGCGCAGCTGGCAATGAGGATTCCTGGGTTCTATCCCAGCTCTGGAAGGGGAGGGGAGTGGAGTCTAGTGGTTAGAGCTGATGTGCTGGGAGCCAGGACTCCTGGGCTCTGTTCCCAGGTCTGGGAGGGGAGGTGGGTCTAATGGTGAGAGCAAAGGAATGAGCTCCTTACTGGGGTCTGTGAAGCACCGTGACTGAAGCACCATCACTCTAGGCAGACGGCAGGAATCCTGCACGTCAGATGCTCTGCTCTGCTCAGGCTGTCTCTCAGAGTGCCCAGGAGCTCGCGAGGGCAGATGTGGTACGGGGCTCTGACTGGGGTGTCGAGGGGGGGACACCCACAGGAGAAGGGTCTGCAGCAGCAGTGGCTGGCATGCATGAGCAAAACAGGGCGAGAAACAACCTAGCTGAACAGATCACTCCTCTCATCCAGGCATCTCCAAGGGCTGCACAAATCCTAATTAATCCTCAATTCCCAGGGGACGGCGTGTGACACCAGTCTCAGCTGCAGGGAAAGAGACCTAGAGCATCAGCGCTCTGATTCCAGACTGGCTGGAAGCACTAATGGAGATCCCAGGTCTTCAGCCCATTTGGATAGTTTCCACGAGGCTTGTTGGATGGGGGGCTCTGAATGTGCAGTCGAGATGCTGGGCCCTTTTCCCCCTCTAGTGTCCGTAGCCAACATGCACCCTTACGTCACTGACACAGCGGCTGCTGTGCTCCACCCCAGAATTAGTTGCACTTCAGTGCAGCTGTTTCCTAAAGCACTGTAGAGACTTACACTGTCTCTCACGGAGAATTACAATCATCTTCAACCATCTCAGGGTCACCTTGTGCTCCCTTCCCCTTGTTGTCTAGTCTCATGGCTGGATTGTGAGCTCTGTAGGGCTGGGAGTGCATCTGTGTTACAGGTTCATACAGCACCCAGCACAATGGACCTGGGCCCTCAGGGAGCTACTACAGTGTAAATAACAACAGTGTTTCACAGACAGTCACGGAGCACTGTAGATACTTGCTGTGTCAGTGTCCTATGGGAAGAGACTCCCAGAGCCCTGACTCTTAGTCCCACAGCCCACACTATTAGTAGTATTACAAGAGTGCGTGGAGGCCCCAGCCAAGATCAGGACCCTGCTGTGCAAGATGCATGGCCCTGAGGAGCTCTCAGTCTAAACAGACGAGACAGAGAGAAGGTGGGAGGGGAAACTGAGGCACTGAGAAGGGAAGCGACTTGCCCGAGTTCACCCAGCAAGGCAGTGGCAGAGCTGGGAGCAGCTGCTGTGTCCCATGGCTCCCACCAGCCCAGGCACGCTCCCTGTTGCAGCTGTTGCTCACCGTGCTGCCCCACCTCCAGCACTCACTTGAGCTTGGGCTTGGGCGTGCTGAGGATGCTCTCCGTCTCCTCCATCTCTGGGCCACTGTCGCTGGGGTTGTACATCTCCAGGCTGTCGTACAGCTCGTCCAGGTCCTCCTCCACCTCTCGGATCTGCTCCCTGGAGACGTGCTCCAGGCCAAAGCCAACCTGTGGGCAGGAGACTCCAGGCTAGACGGGGGGCCAGGCAACCCAGAGCAGAGACTGCGTATTTTGTGGAAGCCCACGGGAGCGAGTGCTGGAAGAAGCCTCAAGGACCTCCTCCTGCTCTTGGCTCTCCCTCTCCAGCCAATGGCATGTCAAGGGTCTAACACCCCACCAATCATCTGTCAGTCTGACATCTCCCAGAGAACATGGAGAGTCACCCACAGAGCAATGCCCCGGCCAGTCCCGGATCTCGTGTCAGAGAGCGGCTATCACCGGAGGTTCAGGGAAAGTTACAAGAAACCTCCGAGGCAGATGACAGACTACACTCTCTCTCGCAGGCATGTCTAACACCCAGCTCATGGCTGCTTTAGCCCATGAAGCAGGTGGAGCCCCTACTTAGTCTCATTCACCTCCTGATCCTTTGGTTGTTAGAAGGGTGGAGGGGAGTGGGGTCTAGTGGTCAGAATACAGGGGCTAGAATTCAGGACTCCAGGGTTCTATCCAAGCTCTAAGACAAATGGGGTCCAGTGGCTGGAGCTGGGGGTAACTGGTAACAGAGGTCAGTCTGCCAGAAGGGGAGTGAGGGAGGGAGAGGTGGGCACCTGGAGGGAGGTGGTCTGGTGATTAGAGCAGGGGATTGAGAACCTGGCACAGAGGTGATGTGATTTGCCATGAATGACTCAGTGGAGGAGCTAGGACAGAACCCAGAAGTCCTGGCTCCCAGTCCTGCTCTAGCCACTAGACCCCACTCCCCTCCCTTCCAACAACAAAAACGAGACGAATTCATTGAAGGACTTGAGCTCTGAGCTCACACTGCCATTCATTTGGAGGCGGGAGGAGCAGCGATGAGGGATGCATTTCACCTGATCTGGATCACAGCCCATCCAGCACTCCAACTACCAACAAGAGACCACTGAAATAGCAAAGGCATTTGCAACAAGACGGAAGGGCTGCACCTACCTCGTCCGACACCTTGAACCTCTTCAGTAACGCCACAAACTTCTGCTTTATATTTGGCTGCTGTGAAGAAATGGTGCCATTGACTCGTTACAGTGACACCAAGAAAGGGAACAGGAATCGGGGGCCCCAATGAGGGGGCGCAAGCCTTTGCCGTAGGTGCGACTGAGGGGTCAACGGAAGGAGACTATCACATCACCCCACAGATCATCCCAGTTACCCTAATCAGGGGTTCTCAGGACAAATTTTTTGGTGGCCTCAGAGTGTGGCCACCAACTCTTGCTGGTGGCCGCTTTCACACTTTTTCCTAAAATACTTCATTAATTTTAGGAAAAACAAATAAATATGCACACATACACGGCCAAGTCATTGTCATTTATTGCTAGCTAGTAAGACCGTTGTGAAAAGTGATATTAACAAACATACAAGTATCACTTTTCACAGCAGACTTACTCGGCCCTGGCAAGCCTGGGGACAAATTAAGCCCTGGATGGGGGGTCAGGGGAGGCAGCAGCGGGGTAGAGCCTGAAGCCCCACTGCCAGAGCCTGGAGCCCTGCTGCCAGAGCCTTCCACCTCACCACCCCAAGGCTGAAGCCCAAAGCCTGAGCCCCACCGTCCCTGGGAAGGTGGGGAACTCACTGGGTGCCACTGTGGCCGTAGTTAGTTGAGAAACGCTGCCCTGAGTGACGGTTCAAAGTCCACTAGAGTTTCCAAACCTGATGCAGGGTTGGATGCAGGGAACATGCAGAGTGCAGCACAGCGCTCCCTAGCACCATGCTGATGCACTGGGGTTAGCACCAATCCAGAGGGGAGCACTCCTCCTCCCGAGTCACCCACACGTTTCCATGCTGCACCTCTGGCTCATCCTCCAGAGGTCTAGCCCAGAGCACGCCTGCTTAGCTTGCAAACCAGCCAAGCTCACTGCACGAGATGGCGAAGCTGAAAGCATGTATAGCACCTACATGCAGCTCAGAGGCTGTCATCACAGCTAGGTGTTAAAGGAGAGGCATGCAAGCAGCTCTTGTAGCTGCCTTCTGAGCAGGGCACGGTGAGAGGCAGCATTACTGCAGGCCAGTCCCTAGAGACAGGGCAAAGCTTCCCAGCCACAGCTGAGGTCAAACAGCCACGCCTAGATGAGTGACAGTGTGGTGGAAAGGGGACAACCTGACAGCTCTGGAGATTGCAGCTGCGTAGCTCCCCCCACCCCCCAGCAGCGTGTCTGAATCTGCTGAGCAGCGGTCACTTCGAGAGGCGAATGGCTCCTTCTGCCCCATCCCAAGTCCCAGAGCCCTCCAGTCTCCCCGGAAGCTGCTTATGACCAGTTCAGAGACCCTCTTGGCACGAGGCCTCACACCAGACTGGAGCCAGAAGGCGGCCGGCCAGTCAGAGCACCCTCAGAACACACTCACCCGAGTGACCGCCGAGGCCGAGGCCAGTTTCCTCCTCGTTTTCTTCACCTTCCGGAGATCCTCGTCTTCGTAAAACAAGTCCTTGTGGGGCGGGGGAGACAGCACATTCAGAGAACGAATACCCCCAGGCCCTGGGGCTATGGGAGCCTGGCCACACTGCCACAGCTAGCTCTCTTAACCAGTATCTCCCTAGTCCTTGGGGCGCAGCAGCCCAGCTCCAGGCAGGTACAGTTCCACGTAGGCTGCCTCTAGCAGAAGCCCAGTCATAGGTGACTACTTGGGGCAGCCAGCCAAGGGATCAGTGGCCTGGAGTCCACAGTCCTCAGCTAGATCCCAAAGGGGGATGCTCACAGAGCCAACTCCCAGCCTGGCTTGCTCAGCACCACCTCTCGCTCCTTTTGCCCCCTGGAGGTGCAGGCTGGAAGGGGGAGCCACTTGGCATCTTTTTCCGAGCTCGCTGGGGGCACTCTTCTCTGCCTTGATTCAGCCACTGAAGTACGCTGGGCTGGGGAGGATTAAAGGCAGAAACCAGGTGAAAACCCCGCACTGAGGAGAGATCGGGACTGGAGGAAAGCCTGAACCCATGGAAAGAGGGGTTTGCAAATGGAGGCAGCCAGGCCCAGCCAGCCTATTGCTTGGTAATGCCTTGCAATGGAGCTCTGCCCTGAGCGGGCAGCAGACTGGGAAGGGGGGTGGGGAGTTACCTGTCCATGTAGGGGATCGTCGCTGCCCTCCTGCTCCGAGGAGAAGCTCTCCTCCTCCTCTTCCGAGTAGTTGTCGATGTCGGGGGACCGATCTGGAAGACACAGCTGGGGTTAGGCTGGAAGTCCAGCTCGGGAGCTTAGCGCTGTCAGCGGGATTCACATAAGGTCCAGGACACCACACATAACAGTCTGGCAGGTCAGAGGGTGCTCTGCAGTGCAGACTGGTCCTCCAGCGCGGTGCAGTCCAGCCAGGGCCCTAGTCTCTGTATAGCCTGGCCTTTATTACAGATGGGATAGCAGGCAGCCGGCACTGGGCCTCTCCACCATCAGACAAGCACACCCCTTCTCCAGTGGAAAGTACCACACGGCCATATGTAGCCACAGAGCGGGCAGGACTCGGTTTTAAGGGTGATCCAAAAGAGAAGCTTGTGTCCTTTTTTGGTCATGCACAGTATAGAGAGAGGCTTTCGTGGCTTGGCTTCCCATTAGAAATTCAGACCTTGTCTACCCTCGAAGGTTCTGTGGGTGACTGGAGAGCTAGGAGGGCTCCGGCACCCCGGGACCCACCGAGGCAGGTCTGCTTGAGAAGGCCTTTGATGCAGACTCTTTCGAAAGCTGGGTTGTGCTGCAGTAGTGCCTGGATGCCCTGCTGTGCTGGGGGGTGGCACAGACACCGGGGGAGCTAGGACCCAAAGGACTCATGATCTAATCAGGCAAGAGGCTGAAGGAAAGCTGGATTAGTGACCCGGCTGGGGAGATGGGGAAACCAAGGCTCCAAGGGACGGGTCACATTTGAGTGGCTTAGATTCATAGACTGTAAGAGCAGAAGGGACCATTGTGGTCATCTAGTCTGAGCTCCTGCATAGCCCAGGCCTCAGGGCTTCCCTGCACTAACGCCTGGCTGAACCTTGGTTTAAGAAGTACCAGCGACGGAGAATCCAACACAGCCAGTGGCAAGTTGTTCCAATGCTTAATTACCCTCCCTATGAAAAATTCATGCCTTATTTCTCGTCTGAATTCATCTAGTTTCAATTTCCAGCCACTGGCTCTTGTTAGACCTTTGTCTGCCAGACTGAAGGGCCCATTAGCCAATTTCTGTTCCCTGTGTGGGTGCTTACAGACCAAGTCACCCCTGAACCTTCCCTTTATTAAGCTAAATAGCTTGAGCTCCTGGAGACATGTATCCCCATCCTTTAATTCGGAGCGTAAGGCCTTCCTTCCATGGTGACTCGGGCACTTCGGCACCTAAATTCCAGCGACTTTCAATGAGACTCAAGCTCCTAAGTTGTGTTTGAAAATGGGACTTAGGCATGGTTACCCTCAGGGACTTGCCCAAGGTGGCCCAGGGAGTCAAACCCAGGTCTCTTAGGCAAGTGCTGAGCCACCAGGACAGCCTTCCACTGGATGAACAGCTGGTAGAAAATAAAGTCTGTTGAAGATTCAAACCCCGGCCCACCCCTTCATTTAAGGGATGAGAAAGCTCCCAGGCAACTTCTCTGGAGTCTCCAATCCACAGGGAAGAGCCATTCCTGATACATCTAAGGTAAACACAAAATAATCCTTTCAAACACCTTAAAGGAGCAAAAAAACTAGCACATGCCCAGTCGATCCTCCTCTGCCCCTCTCCTTCAGTCGTGCCCAAAGACAACATCCCCATGGCCCATAGCAGCCCATAGTCCTTCTGATCGCAGCCCTGCCTGCATCCAATGACTGGAGAACAGTCGCCCCGTGCAGGGTGTGGAGAAGTGTGGAATATGGAGCCGGCCCAACATCTGAGATGAGCTGGCCGTGGACTGACTGATGAACTTGGGAACTGTGCGGATTACTGGGATGCAAACAGCTCCCAGCGCTCCCTTTGGGACCATCTGGTATTTCCTGTCATTTGACAGACAGTTGTTTGTATCTGGTTAGATTCTTTTGGGGATGGGCAGTCGTCCTTGGACACTATTAAAATAAAATCATTGCTTAAATTCCCACTCAAGGACAAAGATCAGCTGGTGCTGGAGTTTGAGAGAGAGAGAGAGAGAGAGAGAGAATTTCATGGCTCACGATATTTACATTCCTGTTTCCTCACGGAATCTAGCAGAGTGGAACCACCTCTCCCTTTACAGCAACAACCCTGGACCCCTCTTTAGTGCCTTTCATTGGAGGATCTCAAAGCACTTTACAAGCATTAACACACACACACACACACACACACACACACTTACTTCCTAGAAGATAGGGCCAAGGGGCATGGCACACACACCATATACACACTGGGGGGATGTCTCCACTAATATGCTCAGCAGCTAAATAGTTAACCATATTGACACGTACATTGCCATCAGTATGCTTCAGAGTTAACACCCTGTTGAGATAAATTAGGTTCTATTTGACGATGCTTGTTTCAGGCTGCCTGCAGACTCAGGCAGACACTACTACATCCCTCACATGTGGAGGGTTTACTTAGCAACCATAAGAGCTGCAGAGATTTGTTTTTAATGAAAGCTAGATAAAGAAGTACAATTCTGTGGCAAGGACTAGATTCTGCCACCACAGAGGAAGTTAGGCTCGGTCTATGAGAGACCTGGACTGATTTCTATTTGCCTCAAGATGCCAGACAGGAAAGGGTGCAGATTTCCAGATCAAGAGGTGTCCCGCCCCCGGTCAAAGTGCCCAGCTGCCTTCCCTTGTCAGGTCACGGAGTTGCTGGTAATAAACCCAAATATTAAAATAAATCCAACACAGAGTCTGAATCTCCATCAGTTTCCCTGGCAACCAGATTTACTGCCTAGGCAGCCATCCACGACAGTATCATAAACGGAAGGATTCCAAGACACAGGGCTAAATATAGCCATGTTGGAAGGAATTAGCCTCCACTATCCAAACAAGATCTGATGCGAATGGACGTGGTGGAACTGGGCCCTGAGCAGGGTTTTGCCTTCACTTCTGCAGATTAGACACATTAAAACCCGAGGCCAAATCGCCCTACAGGTAACCAAGAAGGGGCTGATACCCAGCCGGCTGCTGCTCGCACCTGGGCTGTGTCACAGAAGCACCAGGAACACGTGTAGCTGCGCAGGGATAGAATGTAGCTGAAGAGGCTCCATGTGCTTTCTAAGGCACTGCCTCCAACCATGCATACAAGAGACTAGCAGAGCTATACAATGCAGAATGGAACCAGCAGGCATGTGGCTTTTACAGCTGGTAGGTTTCAGGGACCAAGAAAAATCTCTTCTGCTTCTGAGACGTTAGTCAAGTTGAGTCTCTGGAGAAAAGTGTTTTTGCCACAGTGTGGAAATGCAGCTCCCTCTGGGGAGGAATGTGTAGCCACACTCTACAACAGCTCAGGACAAGAAGGAAAGAATTTTCAGTCCCAGGGAAAAGGCAGAGCGGGGAGGGAATTTAGGGAGGTGGAACATAATTCCCCCTAGTGGAGTTTGGCCAGGACACTGGTCCAACACCCCAGTTCTAGCAAGTGACTCACTCAGGAACTTTAATGACCAAGTCAGGACACTGGTTCTGTTTCATCTGAAGGAGGCACCACCTCCAGCACAGCGTCCCCTGCCAGCGAGCCACTCACCTCTCTCCCAGCAGGGAGGGAGGGGGGCACATGCCCAATGGAGAGGATCGAAAACACCTGCAGCTCACTGTGCCAACTGAGTATTACCGAGCTGTGCACCTGCCTAGTGATGCTGGCTCCAGGGCAGCCAATGAGCTTCTCCTCTGGATCCCCCACGCCCAAGCCCCCCTCACCCCAAACTAGTCCCCTCCTTACCGGACAGTTTTGACTTGAGCCCTTCGTGGTCGATTGGCTGGCTGGACAGAGAGTAGATTTTAATCTCAGCAACGGGCACAGATACGTCCTTCACGTTACTGTGGAGTCCAAGCACCAGAGCTCCTTCACTGGGGTGCTGCATGACCTGGGCAGGGGAGACAACACGCAGCATGTACTCCCCGTGGGAGGCTGCTGAGAATACCGAGCCAGTCACCCGCACCGAGCCCATGGCCCCGCATGGGCCAAGCAAGGAGGACCCAAGCTGACATAGGACTGAGACAGCTCAGCTGCTCTAGGTGTCTCTGGCTAGGTCCCACCCCTGAGCCCAGCCTAGGCACACAGCACTCTGCCTCTGTCTGAGCTGAAGGGGGGAGAGGTTACATTTAATCACTTCTTCCCCATGGCCGTACCTGGCGCCTCCCTCCTCCTCCTCACCTCAGCCATGTTGATGAGCCCAACAGCCAGAGTCTTGTAGCCCAGGATGGTCCGGTTTTTGTATCTCTTCCTTCTCTGCAGCATGATCTGCAGTTTGTTGGCATCTCGCTTCAGGAAGTGGGGATACTGCAAGGGCAAGTGACAGTCAAGAGAGCAGCAACGACAGGGGGCCCCGCGAGAGCCCGGTATGTTTGGGGTTCCATGTGGCCCAGTGTGAAGGTGTGGGGGGCAAAGATCTGTCTGGGGGCTCCCATGTGGGTACTCAGGAAGGCTGCTAAAAACCCCATATCCAGCACTGCTAGAGAGAGACTCTCCCAACGCACATCACAGGCTGATGGTGAGTGCGGGCACACTGCTGAAGACCGGTCTAGCGGACCCTTGCTCGCCTAGGCTGGCAGGGAGCCAGGAGGAAGCGCGGTGCCCTGCTTACAGTGGACACGCAGAGGGTGGTCGATACATTCCACGGCTTCCACTGGAGGAAGAGCGGTCAGGTCATGGAGAGCCTCTGAGGCTCAGGAGAAGGCTTGTTATCGGCCAAGCTACGATGATGATCACATCTCACGTTTCCAGGGGTTCAGAGGAGAGCTGTGGTGCTCAGGGAGGCATCCCCCCATCCCGTCCCTCCTCCATGGACAGCACTGGGCAGCAAAGCCTAACGTATCTTCCTCCCAGGCACCAAATAGCAGCTCCCACCTTAGGCACAGTGCTTGGTCTGACCAGTAAAGGCAGGCGGCCAGGCTACATGGGCTGGTGCTCGGAGCTGGTATGACAAAGCCATGGAAGACCCCGTCCACACCTGTTTGGTGATAAGCCCCCTGGTGGGATCCAGATTGCATGGTGAGCAGCAGCCAAGGCTCCACAAGACCAGAAAGCGCACACATTTACAATGCTCAGCGCTCCTAACTGTCCGTCCTGGGAAGCAGGGATTTCTGCAGCACAGCGGACAGTCAGGCACAGAGGGTGAGCTGTTCTGTCTGGAGGCAGGATGGCTGCAGCTCCACTGGCAGGAGAAAGAGGATGGGAAAATCTCACGCCACTACCTGCATGAGTAACGTGAGCAGAAGTGTCTTCTCTGGAAACAACCCCGGCTAGGTTTGCAGACAGTAACTAGCACTGCGCAGGGAGACCAAGCAAAGAGAGGAGGAATAACGTTCTGCCCTCCTGTCGTGTCTTCCTCCAGGAATCCAAGTGCTTTGCAAACTTTAAGCCTCCTCTCTCTTTGGGAGGCAGGTAAGTTATTCCCATCTCACACGTGGCAAAATGGCAGCACTGAAAGATGACATTTTCAAAAGCACCGAAGTGATTAAGGAGCCTAAATCCAACGGAGTCGGATTTGGGCTCCTAAATCACTGCTGAAAAGGGGTCATTAGAGCTGCATTTTTAAAAGTGCCAGTGATTTTACCCTTTAGCCAAGGACAAACTGAAGGAATAGCAGAGCTAGGACTAGAACCCAGGACTGCTGGATTTCAGTCCCTGCTCTGCCCCTTAGCTCACACTCCCGCCCAAAAACCAAGAACAGTACCCAGGAGTCCTGCCTGACAGTTCCCTGCCTTCCCACGCCTTCCACTGGTTATGCCTTCTTCCTGAAAGAAACCAAGTTAATTTCAAGAAGTGTCTGGAAGCCAGCTGTTGAAAGAGGCAGTGTTCTGGCTCGCCATTCTGAGCATACCGCAGCTTCCAAAAGCCGCTACACCAGAGAGGCTTTAAGGAAGGGATCAGACAGGTCATGAACACCTTGAAATAATCCAGGATGACAAATGTGCTATGCTCAATGTCTGAGCACAACACACAGCTCCAGGACACACAGCCCAGGGCAGTACTTTATATTCACTGGCAAATGAGGTGTGGCAAAAGCTTCATTGCCATTTTGAGTCTGTATTTTGGAAAAACAAAGGGAAGATACAGTGTCCCTAATGAGAAATAACAAGGCCCTTTCTATGCCACTCTCTTGGGTGAGTGCAGGGAAGAAAGGGACATTCAGAACTACTCCAAGGACCTGTCCCAGGCCAGGACTGCCTGCAAACACTTCCAATTGCTAAAAGAGATGGAAACTGCCAAAGGATGTCGTTGCAACTGTTTAATTAATCAATTCTTATTACTGCCCACTGTGCATTTTCCTGCAGGATTAAAATCATTTGGAAATCCTTTTATGCTGTATTATAAGCAACACTTGGGTGTATTTAAAGAGGGCAAAAAACTGGGGATGTGGGGGAAACTAGTCTGCTTTGTGCATGTCACTCAGCTTAAGAAGTTATAGTAGGCTGGTCAGTTTCACTCTGTGATCATATACTCTGGCTCATATACTCTAGGGATGCCTGTCAGTTCCCCACATGAAAGGGGAAGGGTCACATGTCAAAAAGATACAAAGCGTATCAGGAAAACACAAGAATCCCATGGTACAAGGCTGACATTTGGGGCCTACTTCTCTGCTGCCAAGATCTTACAAAGGTGGAGGGAGTTGTCAAAGGGGCAGCAAGGACGAAACATGGCAAGCTGCGTGGAAAGCACAGCTGTAAGCCACTGATTTTTGGCATTGCTGCCTCACTCAATCTAGGTACTTGTACGGTCCCAGCACTAGAGTATCTGAACCCTCCATCATTAATGGCATGGCAGGGTTGCCTACAATACCACGGGAATGGACTCTATGACCCAGGAAGTTCAGTTCAATCCTGCCCGTTCCTAAGAATGCTCCCATTTTACAGATGGGGAAACTAAGGTATAGAGAAAGAAACCAGGTGTTATTAAGTGCAATTGTGCCTGTTCAGCTTGCCACTTCCAAGAGCTTTGTAGCCCTGTGGGCATTAAGGACTCTGGAAGGCCTCTCTAGCCAAGAGTAGAGGCTGTCTGAGCTGCTGAGAGACTCCAATTGTAATTCAAAGTTTCTCTCTAAAAACCAACTCAGGCTGTGTCTACACTACCGCAGTAAATCAACCTACGCTATGCAACTCCAGCTATGTGAATAATGTAACTGGAGTCGACGTACCTTAGGTCGAGTTACCGCGGGATCGTCAACTTACCTTACTCTTCTAGTACAGGGGTTGACTGGAGAGCGATCTGCAGTCGATTTGGCAGGTCTTTACTAGACCCGCTAAATCGACCGCCGGTGGATCGATCTCAGAGTGTGGATCCCCGCTGTAGCGTAGACCTGCCCTCAGGTATATTGGAAGAGACATAACAAGCTGGTGCCACACGGGAGTTCCACCTGTCAAGGAAAAGGCCTCTCCAGTTCAGTGCCCCCTACGGCTGCACACGCTCACCTGTAGCGAGAAGGTCAGCTGAAGCTCTGTTTCTACAAGTCCGCTGACCGGCAGGACAATCTCATTGGATCTCAGGATCCTCTTTGAGCCCTGTAACCAACACAGAGTGGGCAGTGTTACATGTTCACCTGCGTTCAGGATCAGGACAGGCAGAGAGTAGTGCCCAAATCAGCACCAGCAGGGCAACCTTGCCCAGCAGTGCCTCCCATCAACCTGCGCCAACCCCACCCTGGAAGGCCCAACTACAGGGAGAGAAGCTATCGCAGCCTCCCGCTCACGCTGATCCTTGGCCACAGCTGTGAAGGGGGCTTGGGGGCAAGGACAGGATTGAAATCCACCCTTCATCTTCTGTCCCAGAGGCTGCTCTCCAACGCACTGCCTGGCAGATCTCCAAAGGAAGCGCCAACACCACACCTGCACGTGCTCTGTAAGAAGCAGGCATTTCCCTGCTGCTGTTTCACTTTCAGCACCACTTTAAATCCCCCCATTACCGAGCTCTGGATCCAGCAGCAGCCAGAGAGCTCCTGGAGACAGACCCAGACATAAGAAGTGCTCGTGCTGTGGGAATAACATTGGCATTTTCCAAGTGCCTGTCATCTGAGATCTCCTAGCACTTACCCAGCCCCCTACCCCCACAGCATCTGGGCACCTCAACAATCTTTACTGGGAGTTAGGGAAGGATTATCTCTGCTGTCCAAATGGGGAACTGAGGCACAGAGGCCCAAGGTCACACATGCAGTCTGTCGGAGCAGGGAATTGAGTCCAGGTCTCCCAGTCCCATGCTAGCACCCCGACCACCAGAGCAGCCCTTCTCCTCCAGTCTCAAAGCTGCTTAGACACATGAAGGCTCTGGGGATTCTCCCCGTTCCCAGCAGAGGGGGAGTCACACACTACAGTGGCAGAGCCAGGAATAATACCCAGTATCTCCTGCTCTAGCCACTCCTCCCAGAGCACACAGACCCACTGGGTGGCAGAGCCTCGCCTTTAAAGCCCCGGCGTTACTATGCCCACAGGAATCCCGACTCCAACCGCTCCCTGCTCTTACCGCAGACAGTGGAAGACTTTGGGTACATGTGGCATGTCCCCCTCTGGGAGCTGATCCACACAGCAAAATAGACTCTTACCCCTAGCAGAGAAAGACCGCACGAGAGCCAATGGCTGAAAGCTGAAGCCAGAAAAATTCAAACTGAAACAAGGCACAAAGATTTAACAGTGCGAGTGATTAACCATCAGCACAAACTGCCAAGGGAAGGGGGGGTGGAGCGGGGGATTCCCCATCTCTCAGTGTCTCCAAATCCAGCCTGGCTGTCTTTCATCAAACACACGCGTCTGGGCTCAGTGCAGGGGGAACGGGTTCTCTGGCCTGGGCCATCCAGGAGGTCAGACCAGATGATTAGGGCCCTACCAAATTCACGGCCACGAAAAATGCGCCACGGACTGTGAAATCTGGTCTCCCACCGTGAAATCTGGTCTTTTGTTGCTTTTACCCTATACTATACAGATTTCACAGGGGAGACCAGCGTTTCTCAAATTGGGGGTCCTGACATAAAAGGGAATTGCAGGGGGTTGGCAAGGTTATTTTAGGGACAGTTGCCACCCTTACTGCCTTCAGAGCTGGGCGGCAGGAGAGCGGTGGTTGTTGGCCGGGCGCCCAGCTCTGAAGGCAGCGCCCTGCCAGCAGCAGCGCAGAAGTAAGGGTGGCAATGCCGTACCATGCCACCCTTACTTCTGCGCTGCTCCTGATGGCAGCTCTGCCTTCAGAGCCAGGCTTCTGGCCAGCAGCCGCCACTCTGCTGCCCAGCTCTGAAGGCAGCACTTCCGCCTGCAGCAGCGCAGAAGTAAGGGTAGCAAGTACCGCAAACCTCCCTACAATAACCTTGTGACACCCCACCCCCCACAACTCCTTTTTGGGTCAGGATCCCATCAATTACAACACCGTGAAATTTCAGATTTAAATAGGTGAAATCACAAATTTTACAATTTTAAAAATCCTATGACCGTGAAATTGACCAAAATGGACTGCGAATTTGGTAGGGCCCTATAGATGATCTAATGGGCCCTTCCGGCCTTCCCATCTCTGAATCCCCTATCAGCTTATATGGTTACAGCTTTAGCTTTAGTGTTAGAGGCCTGTGCTTTTGTTGCAGAGGGTTACAGGATCTATCCCCGCTGATGACCTGTAGTGGGAGTCGGGACAATGCTGCCTAAAATGAGCAACAATAGGAGCTCCCAGACTCATTGGACCCACAGCCCGTCTAGCTCAGAACCCCACCTCTGAGAGTGGCCAGCACCAGGTGCTGCAAAGACAGATGCACAAACCCTGCAGCAGGCAGGCAGTGCCAACCAAATCTGAGATAGTGCTTGTGAGCTGAGCAGAGGGGCCCTTAGGTGAGGCCCTCCAAGTGCTGTCTAGATGTTCAAGGCCTTGCTCATCAAAGAAAGTCCTGAGTGGAGACTCACCACGCACCTCGCATCTCACCAGGCACCCGCACATTTGGCAGCCTTGTCAGACCTCAGCTGACACCCTTAGACTGAGAGGAAAGTGCACTGAGTTGCAAACCAGGAGACCATGAGTTTGAGGCTTGCCGCTTCCATGGACTGCTGTTAATATTTCTGCAGGCTGCCTATACTGCTATCTGGGAAAGAGAAGCCAGGTCTCTAATAGGACAGACCCAGATCTTGTCCCCCTGAGCCACGTGGCTTTTCAGAGTGAATATGCCAGGTGTGGGCTCTTGGCTTTGCTGTCAGGAACCACCGCTCAAGCCATCAGACCCCACACTGCACCCAGAGCCAGGAATCCCCATACCCACAGTGCTTCCTCACTGAGGGTAGGCAGGATTTGCATCAAATTCACACAAACATTTTCAAGTGGAGGTTTACACTTATATGCTAATTAGCTCATTAAATAATTTGCATGTGTATCCCACAAGAGCATGGCCCCAGACTCGGTAGTGATGCGAGTGCCTGAGGTCAGAGTTCCTCTGAAAGTTCTTCACTGGCTCTCGAAGGCAGCGGTGTTGTGGGGGAAGTGCAACTCGGCCCCTGGCACTTGCAATCAAATGCAAGCTACTGCGCTCCCTCCCCCGACTCGCTGCGTGCTGTGATCCACACTGGTAAATGGCTGCTGCGTGCTGCAGAGGTGGCTGCATCTCAGCAGGGACAGAGCGACCTATATATAGTCCCTAAAGCACTTTGAAATTCTTCTGCATGAAAACCTAATAAACTCAAGTTATTAACAATGAGGAACATGATAAGGAAACAGCAGGAAGCAGACAGCAATAAAAGGAAACATTCTCTTGGTAACAGCTCTCCTTAGACTGGACACAAAATACTGGTTTAAACCCCCCTAGCACTGGTTGGTAAGGACTTATGGTGAGGTGTGGAAGCGGGGGGAGGGAGGGGTTGCTATGACGTGGGATCATTTGTACAGTCTATTGAAACCCCGGAGGGGAAGGGTTAAACCCCGCAGCTGTCAAGTCAGTAATAAAAGCACATCATCTCAGCTGTAACTAATTCACACTGGGATAAATTTTTAATTAAATGCATAGGGCTCTCTGGTAGGAGTGAGGATGGAGCAGGTCATCCCCCTACTCCTGTTATTAGACAGATGAGCTCTTGGCCTGACATATTTGTTTCCCTCTTTGCCTTACACAGGAAATGTGGACTGAAGAGTTCCCTGGTCCAACGGGAGCTGCTGGAAAAGCCCCTGATGCAATGCTGGTTTGTCCCATACTGCAGTGCTCTTTGGAGGGCCACTGCTGTCTCCAGGTCTCTCTCCAAATCACTGCTAGGCTGCTGGAGGAAAGACTCATAGTCATACTAGTTACACCTGCTAGATTAGCCCTGTGCTAGGCGCTGTACAGAGGGGCAGATGGTCCCTGCCTTGAAGAGCTGACAATCTAAACAGACCAAACGCAGGGTGAAGGGATGTAACACCCAAGCAGAGTGAACTATGTAATGGCAGTGAAGGGACACTGAAGGGAAGGGGGCACGTGGCAGGGAAGAACCCGGGAGAAGGGGCAGATGTGGAGCGGAGCAGAGGTGAAGATACTGTAAAGGAGGGAGAGAGTTGGAGCAAATCTCTAAGGCTTTGCCCCATCTCATGGGATGTTTCTTAAGAGAGACTATTCCCCAGCCTAGCAGATCTGACCATTAGGAAGTTTATTGCTCCTACAAAGAGGCCACAGAACTGGGATCAGCAACTCCATTTCCAATCCTGGCTCTCCCCCAGACTTTGTCCTGCCATCTCTGTGCATTCATGGGAGGCGGGGGATGGTATTCTTGGGGCAGGCTGTGAGAGTTAATGTTTGCAAAGAATTTGGAAGATGAAAAAACAGAAAAAAATGTATTTGCACTTACCTGAAAATTCCCTTTTACGGAGCAACAAGGTCCCCACATCCATTACAATGGGTACTTGCAGAACCAGGCCTGACAGTCACTGGCAGCAGGGGAATGCCCCACTACATGAAGTCTCCTGCAGCCAAGAATTTTCACAGCCAGGATCATTCAGACTTAGTTTCCTAAATTACAGACTGTGGTAAATATACTTTGAGGAAAAAAGCACAATTTCTCCTATTTCGGAGCATGGGAAATTTCAGTGACAACAAATCCTAATCCTTGGATGTCAATTTCCATCTTTAGCCTGGATGATTCATTTGTCTCCTGGGTGGGCTGGATCTGTGGACCTTATTACTTGAAGAAAGGAACTTCTCAGGTAAGCAAGCATACATGTTCTTATACTTCTTCATGGCAAGACTATGATGGACTTTCCAGGCACCAGATCTGCTACACTGGGATTTTCAGAGCAGCATGCCCCCAGAGTGGGAAGCAGGATCATCCTTTAAGTACAGACATCGAAAACATGGTAGATAATATCTCCTCCATTTTCCCCTGAGCACTAAGGGATGGAGAAGACTTCTCGAACTGGCTAGGATGCAGAAGTTGGCAAACTTACATATTGATGACCATGTGGCTGTCCAGCCAGTCTCAATACAGGAGACATCACTACTCTGCCGTCTGATTGTCTGTGCTCCTAGGGACTGGATTTGGATGCTTACCTGAAGGAGGCAGGGCCGGCGCAACCCATTAGGCGACCTAGGCGGTCGCCTAGGGCGCTATAATTTGGGGGGTGGCGACCGCGGCGGTATTTCGGCAGCAGCACCTTCCGCCACTTCTGTGGGGGGCGGCATTTCAGGGCAGGACCTTCCGCCGCCTAGGGCAGCAGAAAAGGTGGCGGCGCTCCTGGAAGGAGGATTATTTCTTCAATTTATGTAGGGAATGAAATGACTTCTCTACATTAAAAGAACAAAACGGGGTCTCGTTAGAGAAAGCTCCCAACTTCAAACACCGAGAAGCCTGCTCTACTGGATAGAAAGTATGACGACACCTCCACAGGGTTCAGTCTGGGTAGTGCTGTCAGGAGCAGAGTAAGGATCCAAGGTCATGGCCTACCACCTTGCAGGTTGGAATAAAGATGATGCTCTAAGGAAGCATTTAATATTGGGATTTGCACAAAACGTCCTTTTCTTGAACATGCTGAGAACATTACACTGCAGAGACTTGACCATTTTGCTTGGACACTCGGATACACTCGCAATAATGCCCTCAGGGAGGTTCTCAAGGTTACATTTCACCAGGTTAGCATGGCAGTTAAACCAGGGACTTTGCACCCAGCCAGCAGAATACATTCTGTTTGCTGAGCTCTCCTTCGGGGTGCCTGGGGGCAATGATCACTTCAGCCTGTATTCCTTTAAACCTGTCTGGTCATGGATGGGGGATTGGTCTTGCAATAGCAGACCTCCTCTGTGAGCTAAAAACAAGTGACGATCCAACACTCAGTTAATCAGGCCCGAGTGCCATTGCCTCTTCAGCCAGAAAGGCATAAAACAGTATCACCGCCTCTATCTCCTCACTAGCTTTTGTACTGCCCTGGGGAGCAGTGCCATAGGTAGGAAAACAAAGCAGGGACCTCACCCAGGTTTGCAAGATGTCATTCATCACCTTACATTCTGATACAGAGAGGCTGCAGGGCACTTTATTTACAGTTTCCAGATGCAAGGCAGGTGATCACCAGCCCACCAAATTGGTTTACAACTAGAGATATTTCTGGCTGTAGGAGTTACTCTGCTAATCCGACTTCTGCCATGGAAGTCTTGGTGTTCATCTCCCCCTTGGTGGGCAACGTACATAGAGATAGCCAACTTTGCTCTGCCCAGGACAGGAGAGTTTCTCTCTGGGGAAGGGCTGATAGGGTTTTCATACACACTAGGAAAAACACAATCAGACACGCTGACTGTCGCGACCAGAACAGGTCTGTTATCCATGGAAGCTCTGAGACCTCAGTGAATCACTCTGGTCCAGCTGGTGGATGCGGTTCTCTCATTCTGGTTCTCATTCCCTGAACCGAATGAGGAAGATCCCTTAAAAAAACCTGATTCTCTGCGTTCTCCAGTTGTGGGGGTGGGGGGGAGGGGGTAGAATATACAATTGGAGCTAGATCTCTGCCACTGGATGTGACAGGGCGAGATGTGGAGGGGATACCCAGAAATACTACATAGTAATCATAGAAAGCCAGGATCTCTGAAGCATGCCTGTCTAGGAGATCAGAATTCTGCATTGGCTCCAATAGGACTTGGATAATTTCTCTGGCACACCATTTGTTTTCCTTTATGGACATCATCATCTTCTGAGAGGAGACCTCATACCTGCTAGCATTGGTCCCAAGCCCTAGCTTACGATTGACTTTCCAGGCACCATGTGTCTGTGTTTGTCCTGGAGCCAAGCTCCAGGAACCATACCACTCATGTGTTTGCTTCAGCTTTCTCTCTGTACAGAACCTGATCAGAAAAGTTCTCCAGAAAAAGATTAAGTGAATTTTCTTCTTTCCTAAAGCCAATATTACTGCTGCCATGATCCTGGAGAGGGACCCTGGGAGCATGTGTCATGGAAAGGGAAGAGGCTGCCATCCATCTGCAAAACATGAGAATTGTCTGGGGATGGGAAAATGGGAATGCTCTGAAGTCAAGCCTCCTTCAGGAACTTATTTAGTTATTTCAGACAGTGCCCTGCTCTGCTCATTTGGGGTATCCCTCAGCAGAGCTCAGCAGCAGGGAGGGATCAGGGTTGCCACTGCAGAGGCAGAGAAAACTGGAGGGGGTGCTGCAGCCGGTGACTCTCAGGCTGGTCTGCCTCGAGCTGAAGCAGGCTGGCATATCCACTGGAATGGCTCTGCAGACCTTAGCATGTAGAAGAATGCACCATATGTGCTTTTTAAAGGCCATCCTGAACAATTCCTCTTCCCTACTGGCATTTACAACCCCCGCCAGCAGCGCCGTGTGTCTCCCATTTCCTCCATTCGGTTTTTCTGATTTTCACAAAATCAAAGAGTTCTGTCCACGGATGCCGAGAACACTCCCTGGAATTTTGGAATCTATTGGATGTAGCATTCAAAAGCTATCGCAATGCAGGCCAACAGAGAAGTGCCATTGAGTTGGCTGTAAGACCCGGCTGGGCTTGACCAATAAAGCTGCAGATACAGTTTTTAGTTTGGCTGTAGTTCTACATGCTTTGCACCCAAAGATTTCAGAGCACTTTGCAAAGGGGGCAGTCAGGAGCCCCCTTGACAGATGGGGAAGGTAAGGCACAAAAAGGTGAGATAAATGACCTGCTCAAGGCCTCGAAGGGCAGGATCTGAAGTGGGAACAGAACCCACATCCTCCAGTTCTTATTGCAGGCGACCTTCAGAGTGTGAACCCAGCGTGAGTCCAAGCTGCACAAGCCTGGCAAGAGCCTAAAACCACAGCTATAGGAGGTGAGACTTTGCCCCACTTTCTCAGACTAGAATGTTAACTCTGGGCCCTGATGACAGCAACCCCAACAATGTTAGAAGAGGGGAAGGTCGATTGTGAAGCTCTGGATAATATATTGTGAATGGATTCTTGTTTTGATGGCTCAGGTGTGCAGAGTGTAATGTGTGGTGGAAATCCTGAGGGCGCCTATCTCCCCCCCGTAATTAAGCACCCAAGTGTCCTAGCTAAAGGGCTGCAGACATAGTGACACTGCCTGAATTAAACCCCCTGAGCTCCTGAAAGGAGGGGTTAATTTCTTCATGCCCTTTCAAACACAGAAAGCAGCTGCACTTACAAACCAAAAGTGATTCAGCCCTCAACCTCCTCTCCAAGGAATCCCCACAGGGCATCACAGCCAGAGATCTGGATCAGGCTGGCTATCTCAGACAACCGGGGAGAGAGACAGCGGTAGGGAATGTGTGTCAAGCATGGCAATGATCTCCTGCAAAGCTGACAACCTGAACGGTAAGCAAGAGCAACAGCTTTTAGCGAGACTCATTACGGGGGAGTGGGAAGGAAGAGCTCCCGGGCATCACCTGACGTAGAGCTGCAGACATCGAAACTGGCAGAGAAAGATGCACGACGACAGCTCGGGTTATACATTTTATTGATGGTGCAGGGCTTACATAACGTTAGCAGATCAGTAAGCAGTGGATAGGCCGACATTCATTCCTCATGCGCCCAATGCAAGAGGATTACCAGAAAGACCACAGCAAGTTACATCTGTAACAGCATTCACCTAACTGGAGCAGGGACAACACTGACCTCCTAGCGTTCCCCAACACCACCCGTCCCAAGGGCTGGGTGCACAGAGAAAGTCTTGCTGCTGCTTCATCTCTCGGCTCCAGACTCTCTACTGCTAATGATCCCACCCAGGTCCTCATCTTCTGGCTTGGATGCTGTAACCTCCTCCCTTCTGGGCTCCCTGACACGTCCCGTGTCCCACTCCACCACCAGGAAAAGTGCAGCTGCTAAGATCACGAGCCTGATCTGATCCCGTCACTGGCTCCCCTTTCTCCACCGCTACCTTTGACTCTGCAGAACACCGCCATCGCTCACGTAGTCACTCTGCTTCCTGCCTGCCTGTCCTCTCCACTCAACAGCCTGTCTGGTCACTTCCCCCCACCACACACACACCAGGTCTGAATGGGGGTCCTCACCCAGGCCATTCCTCTGCCCATCAGTCAAGTCCCTCCTAAGACCTGCCTCTTTCATGACACCTTAGAGAAAATTGCTCTTTAAATATTCTGGTTTGATTTACATCCTTGCCCTGCTGGGCTGCTCCTCACTGCATGAATAATGTCAGCTCACTCCCACCCCCTGCTGCTTTGTTACCCCCCCCCCCCACACACACACACAGCCCACCTCATTGTAGCAGCCCCTTGTCAGCATTTTCCTGTTCTGGGGGAGGAGAGATTGCCTGGAGGGCAGATAGTTCTGGAGGGCAAGGACCTCGCATGTTAGAGATTTCCCCTAAATTATACCTATCTAGGTCTTACATAGAGCTCTTCATCTGTCAATCGCAGTGTGCTTTACACTGGTGGGCATAGTTAGCCTCATTTTCAGATAGGGAAACTGAGGCACCAGGTGGGAAAAAAGTCAGCAGGAGATCTGGGAATCCAGCAGTGACTATTTAGCTTGAAACGCCTCCCACCCTACTCCCACGTGCAAAACACACCACCTTCAGGCCGCTGACTGGGCACACTGACCTGCAGCTTCACAGCGATCACCACCGAGTTTAGGTCCTTGTCCATCTCCTTCAACATGATAAGCTTCTTCAGGGTCAAGCTGAACAACCTGTCAGGAGAAGAGAAAGTGTCAGAAACAGTGTGGAGCAGCTGGGAGATGCAGGAAGAGATGAAGCATTCCTGAACGGAAACAGGGAATCAGAGGTTGTGACAGATGCAATCCACTCATGGCTTCCTATTCCATTGGGGCCAGGAGGCAGCTCTTCAGAGCTTTGCACTTCTTTGGGCTACAAGCAGGTTGGAGTAGACACTCCCCAAGGCTGTCTACATGCCCTTGGCATTTCTGTGGTGCAAATATTTTCCCAGCTATGTGCCTGGCCCGTCCAGCCTCCTGCAATACAAACAGTGCTCAGGGAAAGGAAGCTCGTGGGGGAGTCGAGCAACACTGCACTGACCTGCTTTGAACTTATGATCGTTGAAGGCAACTCAAACCTGTTCCATTCAGAGCCTGAGCCTCTGGCAGTTCTAGGCTTGATGCAGAAGTTACAGGGTGAGGTGCTATGGACTCTGATATGTAGGAGATCAGATTAGAAAAGAACAGGCCTTCTGGCCATAACATCTATGGACCACACTAAATGCACAGAAGGCACATAGGTCAACACACAGGTAAAGCCCCAATTATCCAGAGCCAGGTCTCGGGGGGCCATGCCAAACCTTTGGGTAATGGGGGTTTTGGCTACCAGTGATTTTCACTGGCTTGCACTGTCTGTGTGCTGTTGCGAGCAAGGGGTGGTAAAGTGCAGGCCACACATTAAAGAATCTTTGAAAATAGATTTCAAAGGACGCCCATTGTGAGAGACACTTTGTACTTTACCAACTGCCTGATCTGTCCCAGAGAAGTCGGGAGATCTCCTTTCACTGAGCAATCAGCTCCACACCCACATTACAGTGGGTCTGTAGCTTTGGGGGGAAACTTGACCTGCCAGTCACTGCCAGGAAGGGGTGCAGCCCAGGCCCCAAAGACCTTCCTGCTCTGTGGAAGTTACCTGCTTGGCTGACTGACAGAATCCTCACAAAAAAACTTGAAAAAGTTCCAGAAAAACTCAAGACAGCTACGTACTGCAGAGCTCAACAGAAACAGGCGCGTTTCTCCACTGAGCCAAACCCTGCACCAGTTCCTGTAGCAACATTCTGGGTCTGTGGACCTCACTGTGCAGAGAAAGGAAACCTTTAGGTAGTTCAGATACACTCTCCTCTTTTCCCTCCTATTAAAGTCCTAAGATCCATTCCTGTGGGACTCTAATGGCAGTATGGACCCGGGGAGGGAGACTGCCTACGTACAGAGACTGAGTGGAGTTTTCAACTGCGCTGAAGTGACTTAGGAGCACAAGTCCCATTTCAAGAGCACATCACTGGGGTGCTCTGAAAATTTCATCCACTAACTCCATTCTCTGTACTGGAGGGACCAGAGATTGGAGCAAAGGGAAAAAAATCCTAGTAGATCTCCCACTAGGACGCATGCAATTGTCCTCCAATGTGGCCACCGCTGTCCCCAGGCTGAGAGCTCTGACATTAGCCACATAACCTTTCCACTAGAGACCCAGAGAGACACATTAGAAAATGGCAGGCTAGGAGGCGCTCTCTCCTTTTGACTCTTGTTGGAGAAGGCTTTCAAATGGCAGGACAGCCTAGGGTCAATCTTGAGGGCTGGTTCTGGCCAAAGGACCACTTTGGGAAATGGGCTATAGTGCTCACAGCCCCAGTGCGCTTCTAGGGGCAGAGAGAGCAATGAAGACTACAAACGTAGTGGAGGGGAGATAAACAGACACTTCCTTCGCTGTTCAAACATGTTCCATGAGAGCAGTGGGGACCAGGTCCAGGTGCCAGGGGGCTGAGACGGACTGACACTGCCAGAGATGCTGCCTTCTGGGCTAAGGATAGTGAATAACCACAGGGATCTTTCTGCCCAGGCCAGGTACAGCTGCACCTCCCTCTGGAGGCAGGAAAGCCTCCTTCCCAGCTGTCCAATTAGCACATGGTAAATGGAACTCTTCACTCCACAATGTCCATTGCTCATGGAGGGAAAGCTGGGCCTTGGGCTCCAGCCACCTCTACCCTGCCTCCTCTCCAAGGACAAAGCCCCAAGACTGGGCACCTCCCTCAGATGGACACTACAACCTTGGAGGCGCCAGCGAGTGCTCTCCAGCTTGCATATGAAAAGGCCATCTGAGGCTATGTCTACACTACAGAATTAGGTCGGATTTATAGAAGCCGGTTTTATAGAAACCGGTTGTATGCAGCCGATTGTGTGTGTCCCCACCTAAAATGCTCTAAGTGCATGAAGTCGGTGGACCGCGTCCACAGTACCGAGGCTAGCGTCGACTTCCGGCGCATTGCACTATGGTACCTATCCCACAGTTCCCGGAGCCTCCGGCGTCCATTGGAATTATGGGTTGAGATCGCAATGCCCGGATGATGCAAAGCAGTGCCGCGAGGGGTTCTGGGTACATTGCGTCAGGCCCCTCCCCCGCCGTCACAGCAACGGCAGACAATAGATTCGCGCCTTTTTACCTGGGTTACCTGTGCAGACAACATACCACGCCAAGCATTGAGCCCGCTCAGCTCAGCTCACCGTCACCATATGTCTTCCGGGTGCCGGCAAACGTGGGACTGCATTGCTAAACAGCAGCAGCAGCTTACTGCCTTTTGGCGGTAGACGGTGCAGCATGACTGGTAGCCTTCATTGGCGATCTGGGTGCAGGCAGCCGTGGGGCTGGCAGCCGTAGGGCTGCATTGCACCAGCCCCTTGCCTTTTGGTAGAAGATGGTATATTACGACTGGTAACCGTCGTCATCGTACTGCAGTGGCTGTCGATCATGGGCACCCGGGCAGACAATGATGGTTATCAGTCGTAGTATGCTATTTTCTGCCAAGTGCCCAATATTGTCTGCTAAGCACCCAGAAGAGGCCGAGGGCTATCTGGGTGCTGGCAGACATGGGGCTGGCAGCCGTGGGGCTGCATTGCACCAGCCCCCTTGCCTTGATGATGATGGTTATCAGATGTAGTATGCGCAGGATGGGGCAACATTGCTACACAGCAGCAACCCCTTGCCTTTTGGGCAGTAGATAGTATATTACGACTGGTATCCATCGTTGTCATACTGCAGTGGGTATCAGATTGTGCAGTAGACCTGAAGGCTAACTGCCAAGCGCCCAGTATTTGCTGCCAAGCACCCAGAAAATGCCAAGGGCTATCAGTCATGCTGCACCGTCGTCTTAAGATGTAAAAAATAGATTTATTCTGTATTCATTTGCTTCCCCCCCTTCCTCCTGCTAAACCCAGGCTTTTGAGTTCAATCTTTGGGGGGGGGGCATTCTGTGTGACAGTTGTTTGTGTTTCTCCCTGATGCAAAGCCACCTTTCTTGATTTTAATTCCCTGTACCTGTATGCCATGTCGTCACTCGCCCCTCCCTCCCTCCCTCTCTCCCTCCCTCCCTTCTTCCCCTGGTCCGTCAGATACTACTTTCGCGCCTTTTTTCAGACCAGTCGCCATAGCCAGCACTGGGATCATGGAGCCCGCTCAGATCACCGCGGCAATTATGAGCACTATGAACACCACGCGCATTGTCCTGGAAAACATGCAGAGCCTCCTGGACATGCCAAAGCCAAACCAGGACCAGCTGAGGAGGAGGCGATTGCAGCGCGGCGACGATAGTGATGAGGAAATTGACATGGACCTCTCACAAGGCACAGGCCCCAGCAATGTGGAAATCCTGGTGTTACTGGGGCAGGTTCATGCCGTGGACCGCCGATTCTGGGCCCGGGAAACAAGCACAGAGTGGTGGGACCGCATCGTGTTGCAGGTCTGGGACGATGCCCAGTGGCTGCGAAACTTTCGCATGCGTAAGGGCACTTTCATGGAACTTTGTGACTTGCTTTCCCCTGCCCTGAAGCGCCAGAATACCAGGATGAGAGCAGCCCTCACAGTGGAGAAGCGAGTGGCGATAGCCCTGTGGAAGCTTGCAACGCCAGACAGCTACCGGTCAGTTGGGAATCAATTTGGAGTGGGCAAATCTACTGTGGGGGCTGCTGTGATCCAAGTTGCCAGGGCAATGAGAGACCTGGTGATATCAAGGGTAGTGACTCTGGGAAACGTGCAGACCATAGTGGATGGCTTTGCTGCAATGGGATTCCCAAACTGTGGTGGGGCGATAGACGGAACCCATATCCCTATCTTGGCACCGGCGCACCAAGCCACCGACTACATAAACCGCAAGGGGTACTTTTCAATGCTGCTGCAAGCCCTGGTGGATCACAAGGGACGTTTCACCGACATCAACGTGGGCTGGCCGGGAAGAGTACATGATGCTCGCGTCTTCAGGCAGTCTCTTCTGTTTCGAAAGCTGGAGGAAGGGACTTTCTTCCCAGACCAGAAAATAACCATTGGGGATGTTGAAATGCCTATCGTGATCCTTGGGGACCCAGCCTACCCCTTAATGCCATGGCTCATGAAGCCATACACAGGCAGCCTGGACAGCAGTCAGGACCTGTTCAACTACAGGCTGAGCAAGTGCCGAATGGTGGTGGAATGTGCATTTGGCCGTTTAAAAGCACGCTGGCGCAGCTTACTGACTCGCTCAGACCTTAACGAAAAGAATCTCCCCATTGTTATTGCTACTTGCTGTGCGCTCCACAATATATGTGAAAGTAAGGGGGAGACATTTATGGCGGGGTGGGAGGTTGAGGCAAATCGCCTGGCCGCTGATTACGCGCAGCCAGACACCAGGGCGGTTAGAGGAGCACAGCAGGGCGCGGTGCGCATCAGAGAAGCGTTGAAAACCAGTTTTGTGACTGGCCAGGCTACGGAGTGAAACTTCTGTTTGTTGCTCCTTGATGAACCCTCTGCCCCTCCCCCACCACCCTGTTAACTCTACTTCCCTGCAAACCAACCACCCCACCCTCCCCTACTACCCTCCCCCCTTCGAGCACCACTTGCAGAGGCAATAAAGTCATTGTTGCTTCACATTCATGCATTCTTTATTAATTCAGCACACAACTAGGGGGATAATTGGAAAGGTAGCCCGGGATGGGTGGGGGAGGAGGGAAGG